CCCCCCCCACGCCTTGCCCGGTTATTCATATCCATTCATTCCACGTCTTCCGTACTCGTCGACCGGCGGCGCACGGACGGACAGGCTAACCGCCGCTCAGGCCCTGCAGCACCCGTGGATCCAGACGATACACCACCTGCGACCGTCTTTCCCGCACTTCGTACCCAAGCCGGGGTCCATGAGTCGCTGCGGCAGCACGGGGAGCAGCAGCAGCGCCAACCCGGGCCATGTCCACAGCAGCTCCACAGGGAGCGGGGGCGGAAAGGGCGGGGGCGGTTCGACCGCCGCGTGACCGCGGGAAAAGCGATCGTCATGTTCGCGGCTAGCTCCGCTCGGTGGACGTGCGGACGGCACGCAGGAAAGGCTACTGTAACCGTAGTGCTTGACGAGAGAGCCAGGTATCCCCACCCCCCCTACTTCGTTGGAAGAGGAGTTGCGGATGGTGCTGCTCAAGAGAGGGGTTGGAAGAGATACGGATGGTGCTGCTCTGCCTTGCAAGGGGTGGGAGCTGGATGGTCGAAGGAATACGACCGGACACAACAGGTGTTGTCTCCCTCCCCTCCGGAGAAGCGTGTGTACTGCTTTTGTTTGCCGTGGGTGTTTCGGGCGGTGGCTTCGCGGAACGAACGGCGAAGCAGATAGATAGGCTCGCCGTGGTGAGGTGTGAGCACCGCGCGCTCGCTCGCTCTTGTGCTGACTGCTGAAGAGGTGCGATACGAGCTGCGCTTATGTGCAAAGAGGGGACCGTTCTGGACGGATAGGAGAGTGTTAACCCGTTACGAGGGGATCTCCAGGAATTTATTTTATGATTTGCAAGCGCTTCTTTCGTGTGTTTGTCTTGCAGAGAGAAAAGAGAGATGCTTTCGTGCAGAGGAGCGATCGCTTGCAGGCCGGGAATATCGTGGGATCACCCGTGGAGTATTATTGAGGGACATTTGGCAACGTCAACGGCACCGGTTTCTCTCGTGAGCTTCCGGCATTGTCAGGTTGGCATCAAGAGCCTCTGTGTGGCGCAGATGGCCTGCATGTACATGGCTGGTTCGCGTGTGTTGTATTGAAGAGCAGATGGGTTCAGATTTTGCCCACCGATATGAGAAGAACCATCCCTTGAACGGGAAGAGAAGGTGCGAGCAACTTGAAAATACTGCATGCAAAACTTGAAAATTAACTTGTGGGATAAAAAGAGTGACACAGAGTGCTTTAGGATATAGAGTAGACAAACCTTTGGATGTGCTGCGGTGTCTGTAAACCAGCAGTAGGTACATGTTCGTTTTTCTTGAAGGCAGCAGCGAGGACTGGGACTCCCTATCTGGACATTCTGCGTGCGGTATATCGGTGTTGTGGGAAAAACAAAGGGTTGCTGGTAGGTGGATTGAGGGAAAGAGGTCTCCAGTAGCGAGGACATCGGTAGCTAAGGGTAACGGCCTGCTTATGGTTGATAACTTGCAACAGGGAGGACGTTAAGCACGTTGTTTTTCTTGCTCTCGGGGGCACGGCGGCGCCTTACAGACTTGTTATCCTGCTTCGTAGTTTTGCGGTGGTTCGGCTGTTCTTGTCGCGTATTGTATGGATCATACCATGATATGTTTTTTTTTGTTCCAAGACTGGGCCCCCTCCTTTGTTTCCTGCCTTGTAGTACCTTGCTTTGGCTGTGTGGAGCTACAGTAGTAGTAGTCGTGGTGCCTGTTCGGGATGCGTGAATGAGGCCGGTCGCGCCGCACGAGGCCGGTGAAATCGCATGAAACAGATGGAAATCAAGCTGTCCGGCTCTGATGAGCGCCGGGTTTCCGGTTTACGTCTGGCCAAATCGTTAGGCGCTGAGTGTTTTGCTCTCTTGTGCAGGGGCGATGCTGCTGTACTTGATTGATGAATTCGTTTATCACGACTAATTGTGGAGACTTTGTTTGTCGTGTCCTGTGTTAACACCCTGGACACCCATGGCTTTTCCATTGTTGAGTGCGGATATCCTGAATAGACGCGGTTTTGTTGACAGGAGAAAAATATCACACCCAACGACTGCGTGTCGCCCCAAACCAGAAGTTATTGTGACATTGTAGCGTTTATCAGTGTCAACATTCGTCCTGGACGTTCTTGACGTTTATAGTAGGAGGTGGGCTTGACCTGGTCATTGCGTGCGCTGTCGAAGGGAAGCAGCAGCCGGTTGATTTTGAACGAAATGAGCCGACATTTAGCACGGTCGGTCGTTGGTGATAGGTTGTCTGGGAGGCGTGAGTACGCTTCGCAGCCTTCAACGCTGACTGCGGCTTCTGGTGATTCTGTAGCTATTGAGAAGAGATTGTCGTAGGTTTGTGCATAAGCAATAAGCAGCAACGAGCGTGTTCACGTGCTGCTGTTGTCGATGACATCTACAGTAGTGTGTTTCGAGGTGCTATCTTTCCAAATGTTCCAGTTTTTCGGGTAATTTTCGTTCGTCGTTTAGCGAGTAAATGGCTCGCCATTCTAGGACGATTTTATATTTATTGAGGACAAATACAACTCGGTGATGGTTCTGTACTTGAGAGACGGCGGTGTGAGAATGATTTGACCGAGAGCCTCCGGTCACGTCTTCGACGGTAAAACGGTAAGTACACACCAGAGTTAGCGGTGAGGTTTGCTTTTCGTTCGTACAGTACGACAAAAACACGGCAAGACTTTGCGGTTTGGTCTCTACGTAGAATCTCATGATGCCGAGATTACTCCGCGCCGTGCTTGGGCTGTTACCGGCAGAGTTTTTTTTTTAATGCCCTTGCAGAAAGAAAGGCCGTAGATCGACCTACAGACACAGCACCCACAAGTTATTGAGTGGATGTTCTTTGGAAACCTAGCGCGGACCGCCTGGTGAGTGCATGGAGATGATAGGAGCCGGGATGATAGTGATGGCTGTTTGGGGGGTGGGGGATCGGCAAGGAGAGGTAAAAAAGCAATTGGAATCAAGATTGAACGGGGGTTCAGTGAATCCCTTGTTGCAATCAGTGAAGATCAAATAGGAAATGGATGGGACTCGAAATACAACCAGGAAGAGACAGCTCTCCAACAAAATACGGTTGTCGTTCTGTGCGTCATTTGATGTGGCAGAGAGAAGGGGAAAGCCTTCGTTTCATCCCCGGAATGCACACCCTCTTTTCGTTGTCAATCTCATACGGAACCAACCGGTTGTTTCGTGCGACCCTCGCTCCTTATCCAAGCAATCAGTGGGGCAAAACAGGTAACAAGCTCCTGCTTTCCCACTTTACGTGCCTGTTCGAAATATTTCAGTACAATAAAACTGATGGGATAGTCTAATCTACCACATAACGTACACGATGCACTTATTCAAGACCATTTTTTTCTTCAGTTACACTAACGATATTTTCCTGTTCCCTCGTCCTCGTATACCACTTCCTGGCAGCCCGTTTTTGAAACAACGGTGGCAGTGCGTGAACGAGGTGGATTGTCTTGGGTTCTCCACAGGACATGATAAATCGCCTTCGAGCAGAGACAAAGGAGCTCTCGCTCAGCGATTCGTATCGCACGATCACGCGGCACATATTTTACAACGAACGGCTAGCGGAGGAGGTTCGTTGATATCCGAGAAAATAATGAATCTAAATCCTAAATCTTGGTTGACAAGTAGCTAGAATACGGTGACCCGGGAAAACATCAGTCAAAAAATGAGAAATGGCCCGCCAGACATCACTGCACGTCCGTTGCAGAAAAGAAAGATTACCCGTCGAGATGATTTTTTGAACGGATGAACTGAGAGCCACACCGACTGCGTCCGTCCGCGTTGGCCGCTTCGAAGAAACCACAGTTGTTTCGGAGAGACATACCAGGGCGTCAGAGCACACGTACGTGCGAATGGAGTGCAAAAGGAGTACTGCTCCCAGTTCAACAATAACTTCTGTCAAACGGTATGATATGGACGAACTATTTGGTTCCTGCATGGTATAACAAGTACACAGCGGGTAGATCTCGTTTTCACCTGCAGTAGTGCAACGTGCATCACATACACACGCACTGGTTCATTAATTGTGGTGAATCAACACACACGTGACCGGCATGGAAGGGAGATCGGGCGAACCGATCTTCTAGCAAGCGCCCTCTCGGCCTTTCTTTACGTCTGCCTGTCTCTCATCCCTGCGTCATTTTCGGAGGTGTGTTTTTATTATTAGCATCGACCGCGCTAACCGGCTGACCAATGAAAAGACGTCAGTCTTAGTGCGGTTGAAAACACAAAACACTTCTATCTACCATGAACTGGGACCCCGTGAGGGGGCAGCATGGGGGAGGCTAAACTATCCTTCGGATTAAAAACAGAAACAGCAGCAACAGACGAAAAATGCACGCGTCTACCAAGGCTATTACCTAGTACTCGAGTTCGTTTAGGAGTACTTTCACCAGTGTCCTCCTTGTTTTCGCTACCATCATTCTGATCCTCATTTCGACAAGAAGAATCTCTGGGCAGTTCTTCCCTAGCCCTACGTTTCTTGTTGTGGGGAAGGTCATCTGGCTCAAACCCTTTGCTCTCTTCCACTCCTCCATGCTTTCCTGCTCCATCGTCGTCGTCATCCTCCCTCCCCTTTCCCTTTCCTTCGTCTTCGTCACTCCCAAAAGAATTACCCTCACTACTATCGTTGTCGCAGAGATCCCAACCGATTGGCCCTGGTGGAAGTTGGTCGATCAGTAGCCCATGACGTTTGAACACATCGCGAGTTCGCATCGACAGAAAACGAGCTAGCTCGAAGGTAAACCGTCTCCGAATCCTGTTAGTATGAAAAGCTTTCAGGCGAACTAAGGCCCTCTCGTCGTCAAAATTTCCCCGGCAAAAAGCTTCGTGCGCCAAGTGGTTGGCGATAGCAACGATGAGTCGATTGGTGCCTTTGCCAAGACCACCATTCGTTGAAAAAGCAGCAGTAAGGAGGGTAGATCTAGACGGGTTGAAAGTTCCCGCATAGTGATTTGCCTTACTTGCAGCTCGATCTTCGAGGGCTGATCCTGGCTTAAGGATCGACTTGTCGATGCTTCGACCTGCTGATGGGTTGACGATTGTTACGTCGATCAGAATGGACTTGGTGCAGAGGTCCTCTTCCTTCTCTCCTGCGTGTAATCCTGGGGGGATTACCAAATCCATCTTGTATAGCCCCTTTCCCCTACCAGTGCCTGTGGTAAAAGGGGAAGAATCCTCAACGGCGATGGGCATATGGCACTCGCGCAGTGTCTTGAGGACCACTCGAACCATCCTGTTATGGAGGAAGGTTGAGGCGCCGGTCTTGGTGCAGACGAGGGAGTGGGCTCGGCTCAAGCGGTCCTTGCATGGTAACAATGCACCTGCACCACAAAGTTTGCCTGTGTTGCAGTCTGCTCGATCGTGACTCCCCAGTACACGACCGATTGACTCTCGATATAGATCAGGCAGCATTTTTTCATCTGCTGACAACCCTTGCGTTGTCAACCACGAAAAAATTGTTTGTGGGGGAACCAGCGCGAATGAATTTGCTCAAGAGACAAAATTATTTTTTGCAAGAATGAAAGTTATTCCACGATCCACCAGCTAGCTCGTTGCCTGTTCCTCTGATGCTTTTGCTCCACCCCTACACACACGCTCACATCCCCCCTCTCTCTCTCTTTCACTCTCCGCACGGGAAGCAAGAAAATAGATAGAAGCATAGTCTAAGGATATCGACAACAACACCGCACCATGGTGGCCACTGCTTTCATGACCACCTCTCAGCCACGCTGCCGCCGCCGCTCGTCCGGCCTCTTCCTCGCGCTGGCGAAGAACCACCTTCTGCGCCTGGCCGTGGTAGTCCTGATGACGATGGTGCTCCTTACCGCCTCAGTCGTCGCTGACCCCCCCCGACCAGGAGCACGCGCCGGACGATGGTGTCACCTACGTCCGTGGCTGTTCGGATCTTATGAACGACAGGACGCCCGTGCATGGCTACGTCCGCATTGCGGGAGATGTTCTCTGCGACATGACTAAGGTGTGTGCGAGTCGCAGCAACAGCAGCAGCGGCATAATGATACAGTAGTGTGATGAACTTGTTCTTCTCCGAACTTTTGCCCAAGATTGTGTGTGCGCGTGCTTCTCCTCTCTCTCAACTCTGTGCTTCTTCGTTCCTTCCCTTGCAGTTGGTTGAGTGAGGTGTCTGGGGGGGGTGGGGGCGTCGGCCTCTGTCTGCTGCCTGCCAAATCGGCTCATAATATCCACGGTACGTAGACTATGCATGGATAGGCTGAGTGATCTTTGGCAGGATTAAAGCCAGCCGCCCGCGGTGCGATGCAGATAAGGGCAGGATCCACCGTTAATGCTGCGTTTCCAACACGATGGTAGAAGGAAGAAAGTGGATCGATTGCCACACGCTCCGTTTCCCGCACTCCCGACGTGTCAACTCATTCTCGCACCTGCTATGTTGTAGGCAGCAGTTAGTAGTGGAAGGGTCTTGTGTGCAGCCCAACACAACAAGACGGTTGAGGCGTATGCAATGTTTCATCTGGCGCTGCCACGCCACGGAAAACAGGGCTTGATTGAATCCAGCCACACGACAGCAATCTAACAAGTGAAATTAATTGTAGTTTGTGTGTTCGTTGTTGTTTTTTGCTTCGTCGTGAAATGCTGTCATACAAAAAAATGTTCGGCGGATGTCGGATTTTTGACCCGTTCCTTCTCTTCAATGTTGTTGTTGACACCACCGGTAACACTCCGACGACAAGAAGAACGAAAGACTACTTGTGATGTACTGTAGTCCACATTTACGACAGCTGATGACTCTGGACTGTTCCTCCAGCATGTACAGTAGTAGTCTAGCCTGCCGACTACAAGCAGCTAGCGCCGCGCATGAATCCAAAACTTCATCAGGCGCCCGACAACCGAGCAACTAAGAGATTTTAATATACTATTTCATGTTCTCCGCTCGTTGTGCGCCCTCGCCTTGCGTGACGCAATGAGTGTTGCTGTAGTCTACTGTAGTACAGTCCGCAAGAGCGGTCATTGTTGTGCCAAGGGGCTTAGGTCGGCACAGCTGGCTCTCTTGCTGGCTCTCCCTATGTCGTTTCCATTACAACTTAGCTTTCATCAGAGCTCATCTGGTCGGCGGGAACCCGGCACGGAACCCTCCGGCGTTGTAGGCGGGTGTGGGAAGCGTTCCCCGTTCTCCTTTATTTTATTTTGATCGGTCTCCTCGACGCTCTTTCTCGTTTGGTGCGGTAGCTGGTCTTTCTTTCTATCATTTTGTTTCTCTTCCGAGTGGTTTTTGTTGTACCCTATTTTTTTCTGTTTCTTCGTGGGGTCGTGTATGCCGGGTTTTGAGACCACGGGCTCCCAATCTTTCTTTTTTAGAGCTAATGTGAGAAACAACAACAACAACAATCTACGAGGCTTGCGAGAGTGTTAACACGAACCATGATGGTCGCTGCCAACAACGGGCGATCGAGGTCACTGAGAATCGTGACGAAGTAGTCATCGTGGCCAAGACCGCCGCCTTGCGCACCAAGGGCGTAAGGTTCGAGGTCCGACAGGGAGCCAGGGTCCGCTGCCAAGTGCGTGGTTTCTTCTTCGAGCGTAACCAGGTGTTGTATGGCACGAACGATGGATAGACAGCATGCATAGCCAATAATCTGTTCGTATGACGACGTATGTAGTCGGATCTGTAGACGAGATGACCGTTTCGGGTGCCCTGCACACAGGTATATGTTGAGTAGTACGACTTGGTGATGATCGTGCGGAGCCCCCCCACGGCAGCGGGACGACGCTCCCCGGCCGGGGCCCCCTACTGCGCATCCTACGTACGTCCCAGGAAGCCACTGCGCATCGTCATTTGATTTTAGTGTGAATCGGGGCCAAATGCCAGCAATGCAGACTTTTGGGGCACACAACTGGTTCTGCGCCCCGAAAGTTCCAGCGCAGCTTTGATTCTCGAAGATTTTTTTCATCACCACCCAGCAAGCGTCGATAGCAACACCACGCACAACGGCAGCGGACGGTGGCGCAACGGCGGGTCGCCAGCCTGGTTCATGTCTGCAGCTCCCGGGCCAGATGATGATCGCGGCGGCCATGGCAGGGCAGACAGACACAGGTCAGACAGATATGAAGCGCCAGCAAACAAGATGTTCACCTGTCACATGTGTCTCAGGCACGTGAACAGCGGCCAGAAGAGGATATCTATACGGGTTCCTCCTGATCAGAATCCACACGGGTTCGATCATTTTTGTGCGGATTGCGATCGATCGGAGGACAGCCTGCAGCGACGAGTTTCGTATGATTGTCATGGCACAGTGGGCAATGTAGGCATATCTGGGCGAACGCCTAGTTCCAGTGGTGGTAGCTCAGAGAACCGGCTGCAGCAAACAACGATGTCCTCACAAGTAGCAGCGGCAGCGGCCGCTGCCGCCGCTGCCGCCGCAGCAGCAACAGCAACAACAACAACAACAACAACAACAACAACAGCAGCACCAGTCGCAGCCGCTCAAAGGCCGCCTGCAGGAGGAGCGGAGGAACCGTTCAGAGCGGCGGCGGAGGTGGGGGAGGCTGCCCATGACACCGCGGTTTCTTCAGGGCGGTCCAACACCGCAGTCGGATCTGGATCGCTTGACTTGAGAGGGCTGGGCACCACGCCAGCAGCAGGAAGAAACATGAACGGAGAGGCCATGGAGGAAGTAGAGTCTATTGGGGAGGAGGAGGAAGAGGAGGAGGAGGAGGAGGAGGGAGACGCGAATGAAGGAGACCGTGAGCGATGGTCCAACCGTGAGTTGCAAGCTGCCCTGGCGATGCAAGCTAGCAGTGTCGTGGGTCTAGCTCCCAAGGTGTACGAGGATGGTTCGTTTAGTCGCCCAGACTGGATGGCTCCAAGTTTGAAGTCGCCCAGGTCTATTGCGGCAGCGTTTAGGCAACGTTTCCCGGAAGCCCCTATATGCCGGCCGGTAGACAGCCCTGAGAAGCGTGCCTTGGCAGCGATGCAGCCGTCGGCAGCCACGGAAAAGATGAAGTCGCGAGCGATGGTTGGAGGAAGTACGAACCGGGGCCTCCTGAAGCAACTGTTGAAGGAGGCGGCCATGGCCGTTTTCGCAACAACGCACGTTGTGTTCGTTGTCTACCTACTCGAAGTGGTTTTCTTCGACGTTTTGGTCAAGATTCCGGATTTTCAGGCAAGCTTTGTAGTACATGAAATACAGCTCTGCAGACACGTTGCTCGCGCTAGGTCGCCTTCTCCAATCCACATCCACACAGGTGGGCAAGAGGAGTGCCCGACGAGAGGCCCGAGGGTAAGAACTCTTCCGTTGTATCATTCTTGTTTCAGGTAACGACCTACAGCGGGTCAACGTCCGTGAGGATGATCTGTCCTGGATGCAGGTCGAACACGTTTGTGAAGCCTCCCGGAGTATCAGGGCACGGCTGGAGTAATGCGAGCGCCACGAAGGTCAGCAGACGTCTGTGGTGTAGGAGCAAAATATCTGCATCTCAAAAAATTTACGTTGATGTTCCATATTGCAACCTTTTCTGCAACACTGCAGAGTCGTAGCTGCCGTTATAAACAGATTGTTTCCGTTCTCTCCTGTTTTTTTCCCAAAACGTCCCGGATGGTGACCGACTGTACCTACATTTTTACGTGAAGACAACAATAAATACAACAAAAAACATTTCGGCTTGCGTACTCTCCCACACGCAATCTCCCGCATTACTTTGCAGATCCGAGCGATCCCCGATGTAGGCAGGGTGGTGGTTCCATTGTCTGGCAGGTACGCCTGCCGGAATCCCAATTGCCCTCTGGTGTTGGCGAGTGCGAAGAAGGCAGCCAAAAAAAAAAAGGTGGAGGTTGCGGATGACGGGTGGGATGAGGCCACCACCCAGAAGTGGTGCCCAAACGGCGCAACCTTCACCACCCAGGACGACAGGTATGCTTTCGATTTCGTGTGGTATTTGGGCTATAAAGTCGGGGAAGCAAGATTGTGTGTAAAAGTTGGAAATTTCGAATTCTACGGTGTATTTACGACGCCTTCACCCTCGCTTGTGGGCCATGAAATCGGCAGATACATGCAGGTGTTGCCTGAGGAGGTGGCGTTGCGTCTACCCTTCCGATATTTCAGGCAAAGTGGCTCATCAGAGATGTTGCTGGACCAAGTGAGGGCGATGGAAGGCGACCTTCAGGTGCAACCTTGTGGTACTTCTCTTCGTTGTTTTACGCTTTGAGGAATCGTTCTTTTTTTCCCTCGCGAGTATCGCTGTGACAGATGTGGCCCCCTGACAGGTGTTCGTCCGCCGTCTACATCCTGTCCATTTTTTTTGCCGTTGCTTTCTCCGGCCGCAAAGGTGTATCGCAGGGCGTTAGCTGCAGGCGACCAAGGTCGGGAGTTGAGAGACATGAGGAGATACATGTCGTTTGCCGAGAAGCACGGGGATGGAAGTTTGTGGCCAGGGTGGAAGTTCGTTCGCGGGACTCTCGTCGGCACCCCGTCCGTCGCCGTGTTGAACACAATCTACAACGCCGGGCATGATGAGGTGAGGAGGAGGAAGACGTTGCTAGTAGATGCCACGCATGACTACTTCGTCGCCACTGTTTTTTTCTGTTGCTTCCTCGGGTGTTGGTGCTCCTAGGTTTTCAGTTTTTTTTGGTTCCGGCAAGGCCATGACCACGATGACGCATTTTTGGCTGGAACAGGAAAAGGACTACATGAGGCGCGTGATTCAAGCCGAGTGCGAGGGCCAAATTGTCAACATGGATGGCACGTGGCGCATCGGTTTGAGGGTGCCTGGAGTACCCGCTTGCCTTTATTTCTTGTTGGGGGAGAACGCCAAGGTCCACGACTACGGAGCTATCACAAGCGAAAGCAAGTCAGAGCTCCGTCCACTTTTCATGAGGTGCGCTGTCTTGAAGTTTGGTGCCAAACAAACGGTCGTGCCTCTGTCGAAAGCTATGATTGATGGGTATTTTTTGTTCATTGGGTATTTCCCGAAAGAATCGACCTCCTGTTGAGCCTTGGTTTGTGTGCCGCGAACAACGCCGCAGGTACGCGGATAGACGAAGGCGGAACGGCACGTTGCCCACACTTCAGTACCTGTACGACGACATGTGCTGCAAGAACGCTGTGGACGTGACGGAGCCATGGATGAAGTCGATTTTCACGGGCTTGTCGCGAGCGGCGCTTTCAGATTCTTTCCACTTCGGACAGGTACAAAATTCCTTCATGACGTTGCAACAGGAGGAAATGTTGATGTTTTTAATCGTTGTTCACTCATTCGTTTGATAGCGCACCAGACATCGTACTGAAGGTCTCCTTCGTTTTGCATCCCATACGTCGTACCTGAACCACTTTTTTGCCCCGTCGCGTGCATCCCCTCGTTCCACATTGTTGGTATTCTACTGCGGTTTTCCGTTGACACCCTCTCCGTAGACTCTTGTGGGTGCAACTACATCCAAAGTCCACCCACGAAGGGCTACGTTCGCGGCGGGAGTTGGACAGATTGTCCGCCACCGGTACCAACCTGATGTTGATGAGGTTGTGGCGTACTTGCAGCGTGAGAATCGGGGGTTGTCGAAGGTAGACGCGGAGGTACTGGCTAAAAAGAGAGCATGGTCAGCTTGCGTGAGGACTATTTCCCGACCAGCCGACGTAGTGGAGAAGGAGTTGGTGCAGTTCGTGCAGGCGCACGCAAAGATGGATGCCGACGATGTCGCGAGGGGGGGAATTCCGCTGCTGCGCCCGGATGCGCCCCCTGGAAAATCAGGTCCAACAGGCGCGATGGCAGCGCTCGAGAAAATGCGCAGGTGCCTCAGGAAAGGATGCGCGCAAGACCCGTTGGGTGTGGATGACATGTGAGGAAACCTTGCAAGTACGACGTTAACGCCTTTTTTGCTGGTCCTTGTTTGACTGCTGCTTGCTGCTACGTTTCGCGAGTGTGTTGTTCATGTCTTCTCCACTCGTGTCGCCATTGTCCCTACTGTACGCAGGTACATACCTCGTGGGAGGGGGCCGAAGACAAACCTCATGAGGTGGTCCAAGAAAGGTGGAACTGGGAAGAACGAGAATTTCCACGGCGGCATCAATCGTCTGGTCGCAGGCGTGGCTCGCATCGGTGTGGAGGCGTGCGACGCGAGGCTTCTGCAACGTGTTTGTCGTCACAACCTAGACATGGACCGCAAGCTTGGCAACACCAGCAAGCAGTCAACTCGTTGGCCTTGGAGGGAGCGCGTGGTGAACAAAGCGGCCTCGGGCATCCTCGCTTCGCTCCCGTTCCCGAAGGCGCCTCCCGACCCGAAAGTAAGCCCCATCCGTAGCTGTAGCTGTAGATGCAAGCTTGCTTTTTGTGGTGGTTGTCGTCGATGTACCTTGCCGTGCACTTTCGATGCTGTACACAGCACGACGTATGTGATGCCAACTCCCTGCTGTTCGTGTGCCGGTGTCAGATCCCAACGAAGGACTTGGAACCGATGGGGTTCGAGTTCCACACCGCCAGGAAAGCTGCCGGTCGACGAGAAGCCATGAATGCCGCAACGAGGATAGTTGCAGAGCGTCGGGGCAACAACCCCCGCTCTTCGCCGTCGATGACGGCAGGAAGTGCCGCAAGGGAGGGGCCGGAGACGGCGCCGTTGCCACTACCGACAGCAGGAGGCCGGATTGGAACGGCGGCGGCTGGGGCGGCGGGGCCTGCGGAGGGGCCTCCGGCAGACGGGGCGGCAGGGCCGGGGCCGTGGCCTGCGGCGGGTGCGGGCGCGGCGCCGGGGGATTCGCCCTCGCCATCATCGACGCAAGAAGGCCGGGTGGGAACGGCGGTGCCGGGTGCGGGCGCGGTGCTGGGTGCGGGTGCGGCGCCGTTGCCGACCATGACAACGACGGGTGCCGCTTTCGCCAACTATGGGGGGGCGCGCAAGCTACATAGTAAACGTCCCACCATCGAGGGACAGAAGTCTGTCACCCCGACAACCGACGGCGAGCTGGATGCCTTTGCCCGTTGTCTTGCGACAGCAAGGGCTCAAGGCCGAGGGGAGGTGATGGAGGAGACGGCGCGACTGTACAACACAGAGTTTTTCACCCAGCAGCTTGACCGGGACGCGCCAATAATTCTCCGTGGACCCACTTCAGCGCAAAAGCTGCGAAAAAAATCAACGACAACGGCCACGGCTAAGAGGGCCCGACAGGTCTCCGCAGACTTCGCAGCTGTGCAATCGGCGGGCAGAACGGCGTCGTCTTGTTCGACCTCTCCTTCGAACTCTTCTTCGACCACGTCGAGATCAAAGCGCCGTCGTGACGTCAGACCTGACAGGGAAAATGCCGTTGCTAGAGTCGCGAACAGGGTTCCTCTGACGATAGAAGAAATAGAGACACTTCCCGACGCCGTGGCTATTCCTTACCTCTCGGATATGGATCAGCCGACGTCAGGCAGGGTTGCTGCCAAACGCGAGAGGTTGAAGAGCTACTTCCGAAACCACAACCTCACATCGTACACACCTGTGGGCGGGGCAAACAAGAAGGCCGCGGGTGCGGCAGTTACAGGACCCCCTAGTGGGCACCGGGCGATCTAGAACGGCTGGGGTGTAGAATTCTGTTTCTGGTGGCAAGGGCGGGCTTTCTCATTCTGCACGAATGTTGTGTGTTTCACTGCTGCTCCTTCACGTAATATTATTGCGGTTGCCAAACCGGCGTGTTGTGGGGGAGGTAAAGTGTGCAACCTCGAAATCAGATGCGCCCATACTGCATTTGTGTGCTAACCACAGTGTATCAGGTACATGTGTGCTACATAGGCACACCTTATGTTCGCCGATCAGTCCTCTTCTGGTCATGTACATATATGCCGTGGTTCCCCGCCATGCGGCGATGACTCATGTTCAAGAGACACACATCATGCACTCCGGGTTGTTTTTGCCGGCGCCAAGTACGATCGGCACGCCTCACCTACAGCTGGTTAGATATATTTCCCCTGGCAGCATCACGTAAAGCTCTGTGTGTGTGAATAAGCGCGCACACGCCCGTCAACGAGTGCTGTAACTTCGAGAAACCGACGGTCGTGCCCAGTCTACCCGAGGGAAAATACCCACATCAACGGCATGACACCATCTACTGAGCACAAGCGCTCCTGTATTGTTCAATTGTCACCCACGCAGCAGCGGTACACAGCCATCGACGGCAGCACACAGCCATCGGCACACAGGCACACACCACACAAGCGCACAAGCGGCAGCCGTTGCGTTTTTTATGCTTATATCATATCTGCGATAATTGCAGAGAGATCTCAACCAACTCTTTCGGCGATTTTATGCGGCGAGATCAAAGTGTTTTTTTTTTGGCCCCAAATTTCGGGACATGGGGGTGGCCCCGAAACTACTTGAAAAAAGACTTTTTTGGGGCGGATGCGCAGTCGGCGATTTTGCTGGCCTTTTTGGTTCTACTATTTTTTCCCTCTCTCTCTCGCTCTCCCCGCTCTCTCGGGCGCGCTCTGCGCGCGCGCAAGAAGTTTTTGTATTACGTTGCGCGGCCTTCGGCCGCGGAATTGAATTGAAAAGCTGGCCCGCAGCAAAAATTGGGGATTGGACAAAATCGGGACGTCCCTGGGGTACAATGTGCAAAATCGGGACGCCTTCTGAACGTGCCGCGGCGCGACGACGCACACACCCAATACCACACGAAATCGCGCCACAGCGCCTCCACCCGCCGCGCACAAGGCGCGCCGACCCTCTGCAACCCTTTTTTTCCTGCTCAACAACCTAAAACAGTGTAGACGCAGCCGCGTACAAAACCCTCTCCGCAGACCACCCGATTTTGTCCTAAAACCTGCAGGGTCGACCCCTACCCCGAGAAAAACATTATCTCCGACCCTGTTTTGTCTATCTGACCACCCCTTTTTGTCCACCACAGCCGGTTCGTGGGGAGATTGAACGCGGCCATCTCCCCGCAGCACCACCAGCCGATACCCGCAAAAGAGCCAGCAGCAAAAACACTCTGCAGCAGGCAAAAAAACACCGACCGACAGCAACTTGCCGCCCGCCGGCAAGCCACCACAACTGAAATCGACCGCCGAAGAACGATCCGACGCTGGGAACAGCTGTAGTCGCTCTGCAGGGAACGGACATTCGCGGAAAACTTCCTCCGCTCTGCCCTCTCGCCTCTCGCCACTTCCCTCTCGAGTAACTGCAAAACCCTCTCGCCCGGTGCGCGCGCAACCACATCACCCGGGGAGATGTGTGGGCGGCCAGTACTGTTGTCTTCTGGCCCTTGTCCGCTGTCTTCCCTCCGTCAATCCAAAAACAAACCGCTGTATTGCGAGATCTCATGTTAGAATCTAAATAATAACTACTTAAGACTACGAATAGCTGCGTAAATATGTATAATATTTTTCGTGTGTTTTTCAATATTCTCGGACTCTGCAGATACTTGTATTTAGCGAACAGCGAAATTGGAAGTTGGTGTGTACGGGGTGAAAACGAGCGGCCGCGCAACAAATAGATGCCTGCAAGTTTTTCACGCTTTTTTCGTAGGAAATCTTTTCGTAGGGAATCCAGGCCGGCTTCGACGGTAGTGGCCAAACCGAAAGTCGAACTGATATGGGCCAACTGATATTACGCACCACGTACAATAGATCAAATTGTAGACCCAAAATTTTACGTTTCGCTCGCCCAAGACTACATGAAGCAGGTGTGAAAAAGGCGGAAGGATTTAACGCCGAGTTATGTCGCCGAAACGATCGTACTTCAGAATGTATGGGCCCACAGAGTATGTGTGTTGGACAAAATTGAGTACGAGGGAAACATAGTGGCGGCCAGAGTGGTGGTTCGTTATTTTGGTTAGACATAAAACAGACGGCAGCAGCAGAGGCACCGACGGTATGCGGTAGTGAAAACAAAGGACGGGAAAGCAAGCGCCGGCCATACGATTTCTTCGGCATTAGGCCACCACCAGCAACAAGGCCCATAAACAAGGCCCATGAAAGTGAGCCGCGAAGCACCACGAAAAGAAGAGAAAATCCCCCGAGGGAAAACAAGTGAAAGCTCGTTCGAGGTTCAACTTGGGGGAAAGGGCATGTACATGTCGAGGGTTGGCTCACCCGAATACGGCCGCTGGCATGAAGCCCGCGCGCCGATGACTACTCTGAGACGACGCGAGCATGAAAAACATGTGCAGTGAACTTCTACACCACGCCTGGGACGCAACGGTAACGGTGGTCCTACCAACACCGTCAGCTACGAAAAACCCAACAACAAAAGCAGAGAGCGCGACCAACAAAAAAGTGCCAAAAACAACCCAGCAGGAATCAAAGCACCGAAGAAAACCATGAAAACGGTTGTCCCGTCTTCGCCACACGAACCATTGGGCCAGCAATACAGCAACAACTGCTGGCAAATGTATGAAGAACACCCCGGACGAACACCCAGGCAGGAACGTGCGCACGGCATGCACCTCTTACCCCTTCGCACCCCAGAACATGGCAGAACGGGCAGTGACATAAAAGAGAGGAGAATGTTGAGACAGGTACAAGAGGACAGCAAGACCCCCCGAAAAAACGACAAGTTAAGTGAGGAGATGTCGAAATGCTTCCCCCCGTCACCATCCAAAACCAGGCGTCGTACATGCAGCAACCATCGCACAAGGTGCACGCACCGCGCAAGAACCAACTACACAGCCCCCAGTAGCAAGTGCCGGCCACCTCACCAATGGCCAGGCTAGGCTAGGCTAGGTCCACCCCTGCCAGTCTACGTCTCCCCCGAGCCCTGCGGCTGCCCCTGCGAGAGGTTCGCGATGTGGTTGGCGTGGGCGCTGGCCGCGGCCGCCACCGAGGTGGAGGCGGAAGCGGAGGCGCCCTGGGCGTTGGACCTCGCCAGGTGGAGAGCGTAGCTCCGCGAGGTCGTCGCGTACTCGCCGTTGCTCATCTTGCGCCTGGTCTGGCGTTTGGTCTTGCGGCGGCCCGCCTGCCCGTCCACCGGCAGGGGTGGCTTGTGGTTGGGGTTGACGCTGAGGGCGGCCCACACGGGGGGGGTGACGCGGTACCGCTCGTCCCATGCAGCGGCACGGACCTTGTCCAAGCGGTATCCCTCGTCGAGGAGCTCCNTTAGCTCCGCGAGGTCGTCGCGTACTTGCCGTTGCTCATCTTGCGCCTGGTCTGGCGTTTGGTCTTGCGGCGGCCCGCCTGCCCGTCCACCGGCAGGGGTGGCTTGTGGTTGGGGTTGACGCTGAGGGCGGCCCACACGGGGGGGGTGACGCGGTACCGCTCGTCCGATGCAGCGGCACGGACCTTGTCCAAGCGGTATCCCTCGTCGAGGAGCTCCAAGAGCTTTGCGGGCTGGTGTCGGGCTGCGAGGTTGAGGGAGGCCACGCGAGCGAACGGGAGTGGAAAGAAGAGCGCAAGGTCATATCAGCATCCATGCGATGTCATGGCCGTACACGGCAAACGAGGATCGAGTTTTGTGTAGAACCAGCGAGGTGGGCTGCATGCTCCGCCCGCCCAAGAAAAGTGGGATTTCATGTGCACTAATATGGGCATGGGCGTCCAAGCGTGATTGGACACTGTGTACCATATCGGATCCGTGTTTCGTTCTGCCCATCCCCCCTCGAAAATGAAAGCAGCCCTATGCATGAGATGTCCAAACCTCATCAGTGGCAAACGCGTGGTGCGTACGAACAACGTACCAGCAAGAATGATATCGTGCGCGCACCTTTCGCCACGGCGACGACGTGGCGGCAAGGGATGCGCCACCTTTTGCAGAAGCCGCACGTGCACGTGTAGTGGTGTTTCGTGGGGTCGTCCTCATCGAAGGTGAGCTCCACGCGGTTGTAGTGGCGGCGGTTGCCGCTCGGGAACACGACAAACGTGTCTCCTCCAACATTGCTGACGTCGCACCTGAGGAACAAGGCGGAAAGCGAGGGAGTGGGAGGGAGCGAACGGAAGGCACATGGGGAGGATGTACTCAGGCCCGTTGGTATCGAGCTCCTTTTTCTCGGTGTTCCTGGAAAAATAAAAATCAGGATAGCGTGTGAACTCCCCCTGCACAGCCGTGCGGCCACGGAAGAGGGTGGATACAGCAGCCGAGGATGGGACACCGGGACAGGCAACAACAACGCGGCGGCAGTTTCCCATGATTTTCCAACGATTCGCGAACAACTTAATGTGACTGATCCTAGAAAAAGAACGCGTCGACAGGGGCCTCAGTGGAAAACTGCGGGTGATGTTACCTCGTCGCGTAGACATCACACGCACTCCAGAGGGGGAAAGCCCCAACACTGAACACAAGGCACTACACGCGCTGGGTGCACAGATCGGCGGAGTACTAGTGGTGACGCCCTTACGTTTTCGCCCACTCCATCTCGGCGTGAAGCACTTTCACCGCGTGTGGGGTGTGCACGGCGGCCGGGTTGTTGATCTGGATGTTCGCCTGGCTCGCGAGCTTGTCGAGGCCCTGAAAGGCGGTGTCCATGAAGAAATCCAGCGGCGCCTTCGACCGTGTCTGCGACACGAGCGGAAGCACGCGAAGACATGGCAGGGGTGGTAAGACACACTAAGCTCTCATGATGGGCATCTCTCTCGAAGTCTCTACGGTAAGAGCTGGGAAATATTATGCCGGGAAACTCAAGTGGGGGCCAGCCACACGACCGCAGTCCACGACAAACATACTGCGGGTGATGGAGGAGGGGGGGGGGACAGGGTCCAAGAAGCAAGGGCCCAAAACCAAGGAAGGAAATCAACCACTCACGCCGCCCATGCGTAATTGGAACGGTGGGACGGGCAGTTGGAATTCATGACGCAACTTAAAAGGCCCAACTTTAATGACGGAACTAAAAACAAAGGCACAACAAACGTACATCCGGTCCCATCATGTTGTTGGCCGTCTCCGACATGTTGGACGTGACCTGGTCTTGGACGACGTTGCCGCGGGTAGCGTACATCGCCCACTCGTGGCGGGGTTGCAGGCGGATGTACTTCCCGGCAGCTGGGTTGAGGGCCGCGATCTTGTCGATGTTGGCCTCGCACGTTGCCTTGTCTGTCGCCCGTGCCGCCTCGTACATGAACACGCGGCCTTGCTGCGCAGAGACGAAGGGTCAGCAAGTATGGGACAGAACGTAAGGGCCAGCAACTTGGTACATGGTTTGGCCGTAACATATCTACGGCAATGACAGACAGAACATGGCAGGCGAATCGGGGCGACGGGGGTGGTACAAACAGTGAGCTGGTGTGCCGGTGCACTGCTGCAATTCCGGTGCACTGCTGCAATTCCGCCCTCCGATGCGCAACTCTTCGACAAAGTTCAACACACACGCTCAAGGGCTACCCAGCACGCGCAGAGAGCGAACTTTTATTGGACGATTTGGCGAGGTTGGGTTTTTAAGATTGGCAGCAACTGCAAATCAAGCAACGACCAGCACACCGAACCACCCCTGAAATTCCGTCTTACCGGTCCGGTAGTCCCCGCATTCTTCAGAATGTGTTCCGCGCACTTCAGGTGTTCTGCGAGTTGCAGCACCCTGGGAACGGCAGACTCCGAGCCCTTGTGCTTGTCGGTGATGATGGATGGTGTCTGGAGACAAATTGGCGTTGAAATTCTCACAGTAGAGCAGTGTGAAACCAACCAATATTCCTGAAGGTTGGTGTCACCACCAAGGCAGGGCGCATTTATTTGTTACACCTAATTGGTACAAGAAGTGGAAGGGTCACTTCGCATCCGAACACTGAATTTTCCCGCATGGCTTTTTCACGCAAATTGCATTCCTGCTGACGAGAAATAAGACATATTCGGAAACAGGAAATAATCGTGGAACGTCAAGGAACCGTATGCATAGCTTCACAAATAGGTACACACCCAGCCAGGGAGGAGATATAAGTAAATGCCCACCTTCCCCATCCACCAAAAATATTATTGCTTCACGGGCACTTTACAAGCTGGTCCAGCCAAGACGCGTGTTTCCCGGTTGGACCGGATTTCCCGCGCGGTTGTTTCGAATCAGGACCTGAAATTTTGAGACGGCATCTGCATGAGTACAACAAAAAAAATTACCACTGCGCCATTTGGATTTTTTTTTCATGAGTTACCCCTATTGTTGTAAATATGGGAATACTTGTCTTGGGACAAAGTGACTAAAAAAAAAAAATCCAAATGGCGCAGTGGTAATTTTTTTGTTGTACTCATGCAGATGCCGTCTCAAAATTTCAGGTTCTGATTCGAAAAAAACGCGCGGAAAATCCAGAATTTTGTTCTGGCCTCAGAACCTGGGTGCAGGGGCACACCATTCATAGGAAAATGAGGGGTAGGGACCGTAGAGACGTGTGCGAAAGCGGTGTAGTTGGCAGGAGCCACACTGGCGCTGCCTTCCAGCCCATGACGTACATAAGTTGTACCCACTGGTCGTGATGATGCGAAACATGTATCAAAAGCTCACGACGCCAACATGCGCGTGCACAAACTCGAACAAATATGTCTCAACTCGACCGGAAAAAAAAGCAGACTTTTTCGGCATCACCGCACGATATTNTTTTTTGTTGTACTCATGCAGATGCCGTCTCAAAATTTCAGGTTCTGATTCGAAAAAAACGCGCGGAAAATCCAGAATTTTGTTCTGGCCTCAGAACCTGGGTGCAGGGGCACACCATTCATAGGAAAATGAGGGGTAGGGACCGTAGAGACGTGTGCGAAAGCGGTGTAGTTGGCAGGAGCCACACTGGCGCTGCCTTCCAGCCCATGACGTACATAAGTTGTACCCACTGGTCGTGATGATGCGAAACATGTATCAAAAGCTCACGACGCCAACATGCGCGTGCACAAACTCGAACAAATATGTCTCAACTCGACCGGAAAAAAAAGCAGACTTTTTCGGCATCACCGCACGATATTTTGCACACAACCACACCTATGCTTAACCTGTAATACAAAGCCAATAACAACACCCACACTGCGTAAAATATACAACTATACAATCTTCAACAACATATACATGTAACTCTCTACAGCACCATGTAACCCCCCCCCTTCCGGCCGGCCGGCCAAGGTCACTGCTTGCCAAGGAAACCGGGCTCCATGTCCAGTATGTTGCGGTGAGCCTTTTGGGTGTCGCGCATTTTCTCGACCAGCTGTAGACCCTGGCCGTCTACCGCACCCAGCTGTATTTCGCGGTAAGCTCGGCAGTAGTCTCGTGCACCCCCCTTGAATCTCGCTTGAAACCACCGTGCCCCCGAAAGTCCCTGAGCCACCCCAGGATTGTCGATGCCGCGTAAACCCGTGAGCCAGCGGAGTTTACTCTCGCCGCGATCCGCAAGAGCGACGACTCGTGTCGAAGACGCGAGGCCTCGTTCAACAGCTCAAACCGTTTGGCCTCTGCTGCCTTCACCGCTGGGATCGTCGTGTACGACTCATCGGACAAGCTCTTCGCCTGCTGCGTGAGTTGCAGCTGCCGCAGGTCGCGCTTCCGCTCCTCCTTCAACACCGTCAACGCCGAGTGCCCTTGATACCACAAGCGGTTTGCTTGGGTGGCGGACACTTCCTCCTTGTACTGGTTGTCCTCGCCCTCGGTACACGCCCGTGCGTCCACCTCTGCATTTCCTTCGATGGGCGAGGGGGGGAGAGGGGCGAGAAGACTCGCGAGGTCTTGCTCCGCCATAGCATCCTCAATACGCCGAATGTGCTGCTCGTTGCTACAGATCTGCGATGTCAGCTCGTAGATCCGGTTGCCGAGATAGGAGCCCCGCTTGTCGAAGTCCCGTCGAAGCTTTCCTTCCCTCTTGCTCCAGCCCCGGGCCACCGAACGTCTCTCGCGCCTGGAAAGCGTCGACTCTAGCGTGAAGCCTGCGCGGGTCGCGTCCGAACCTGCCAGCCGCTGTCGCTTGAAATTCCTTTCCTCCACGGCGTTTAGCTTGCCGAGGCTGTTGCGCGATTTTCCTGTGTGAAATTGGGATTTCGGGTCGAGGCGTCAGTTCATGTGAAACATTTTCATACGACAGCAGCAGCAAAGTTTGACAGGAAAAGATCAATGCAAAGCACAGCGAGCCCTATCTGATCCCGCCCCCGGTATATGTTGATGTGCGTATTGGCAGTGCAGCCGGTAATTTTTCAAGTATACGCAGATGAAGTAACACGCGGCGTGGTGCATGGATGTTTGGATCAGTTGAAGGGGATCGCGAGCACAGATGTCGACTGTATTTGTATTCGTGCAGGGAGTGTTTTTGGCTCGCAGCAGGGCACTATTGTACTGTAGCAGAGTTTATGCAGAACGCACACGAAGATAAAGTACTAAAACAAAACCATATCTACTGCTGTAGTATCGCCTGGGTCCGGTACTGTCAATATGTGATGATGACGAACCACGTGCATGTGGAAATTTGGTCGACTGATTACACTTGTGAGAGCGCCTACAGGGGCTTTGTATTCGTGCAGGGAGTGTGATCGGCCCGCAGCAACGCATCACGGCAGCAGTATATGCAGAGAATACACAAGGATGAATTACTAAAACAAAGCGATAACTACTGCTGTAGTGTTGCCTGGGTCCGGTGCTGTCAATATGTGATGATCGCGAAGCACGTGCATGTGGAAAATTGGTCGACTGATTACACTTGTGACGAGCATCTGTAAGGCCCCACGGGGAGCTGCGCCCGCACAGCAGTAGGCATAGAGGCTTCAATAGACAGCAGTTGAGGAGTGCATAAAGGTGTGAATGGTGCGTTCAAACAGCGCTTGTAGCACCGGTGAGTACGACATCGGGACCGGCAAGCCAGCACATGACACGCGCAGTCTTGTACGTGACAATGTTGTGTCAGCTCAGCTCGTTGCACCCGGTGCACTTTGAACCGGAAAATATGGAAAATGCTACATACGGGGAAAACAAAATTATCGCGATACGGTGTAGTTTTCAGAACTTTCGAGAGCTGCAAGTAGTTCCCTCACGTACAGATGCTGGCCGCCGTCGCCGCTGTCGCCGCTGCCGCGGCAGAAGCAGCAGCAGCAGCAGCAGCAGCAGCATGACGGACGCGGTTTGTTTGTGGAAGATGAAAAAAAAAGCCGTTGCGAAATAAAAAAAATAAAGGTTTGGACACCAGCAACCTCTCACAAGAGGTGGCACTCGTTGCAAGCTTCCAAATATGTTACTCCCCCTCCATTGCTTACAGTAGGCAACAACGAGAGCGAGTGCCACGCGCAGCAAAGCCTGCTGTAGTGTACGCATGCAGCGTGCGCTTTCGACCACTCGCGATGTCCGCAGCCTGCTGCCACGAACAGCACCGATTTGAATTTTGAGGAACATGATTGTGTGTTTACCCAATTTGCGACTTGCCTGCTGGAAGCGCAGTCGCTGCCGCCACAGCTGCTGAGGATGGGACTGGATCTCTCATCGTGCGCTTGTAGAGCTTGCCGCGATGGCTGTACTCCCAGCCTATCCTGAAGTCCAAGACGCCGGCAAGCGCTGCCTCTCGAGAAGCAAACCTTGAACTCTGCTGCCTTTTCGCCTTGTCTCCCTTCCGCTTTGTGAAGTTGAGGAACAACCGCCACTTGCCAGTGTTCTTCTCTGGATAGCACACGGGCATGGACGTCTTCTCCCACTGGTCTGTGGCTGCGGGGAAGCGGCTGGAAGCCATGCTGTCGCTCTCTGCACGGTGCTGCGCAACAGCAATGTGTGCTGCTGCTGTGTTCTTTTTCAAAAATCCCTAGACTAATTCCGCCGCAAAAAATATCGTTTCATTTTTTTTTTAGCGTCTCTATAAGTCGAACGGTGAGACGGACGTGTAGTTCAGTTTTGGGCACGCGTACGGTGCTACAGGGATTATATATAGGTGTAGTAGTACCTCTTCGGGCTCTTGTACACCTTTTTCTTGCTACGTGTGCGTGTTCTTTAGATCCTCAGATGGCTCCAGCACTTTCGTGACCACGGGCCGAGAGTCTTTGCTAGATTTTGGCATTTAGCAACTGGCATACGGTTTAATGTGAAGTCAACAACAACAACAATAACCTATATGAATTGGGGGTGATATCTCCCGTTTTTGGAGAACTGGGACAATCAGCTGTTTGCTAACACGTGCGTACGCGCCTTGGTTGGGCGATTCGGGGGATATGCCGAACGCGGCTCAATTCTTTTTCCCCGATAAGCTATGGCGTGACGAACGCAAGTTGGCTTCTTGGCTGGAGCAGCTTGTATGCGTTACCGCTGTTGCTCTATCGCGATGATCCCGACAGTTTTTTTCGTCCGTAGATGCATAGATAGTTTGACATGAGCAGGTAGGTGCTGCATACTAGACATTTTGCATGGTTCGGGAAGGCCGTCTCCCGTCGGCAATGTGGCCTATATGCATACCTCTTACGTCGGTTGAGCTCCTTTCGTTGCGCCCGTGTCCAACACGCGTCAACAGAAACTCCGGCCAGAGAAGAAAAATAGAAGCAAGTTAACGGGCGCTCCAACCATGCCAAACAGCTCGACGAGTGTGCAACATTGGGCACCGTGGCTTGCAATTGACTCCCGAACGTGTGTTCGTACCAATTTTCACTATCCATCCTTATGCCATCCTCATGTTTGGTTGGTTCAGCAAACCCCGCCCATGCCAACGCGGCTCAGTTGCCAACGAAGACATCAACGGTCACTCGAACGACACCCAAAAACACCTGCTGGCGACGCAGGCAACACTCGACACCATACATACCCCATGTTCTGCACGCATTATCTCGGTGGAGGACAGCACACGAGCTGCGGTAGAGACGCATGCCAAAAACTCTTCAATGCACCAACGCTGGTTCCCGTTCTTCTTGGACAGCAGAGCATCGGAATTCTCAACCCACCCACCCACCCCACACACCCCTCATCCGGTTTCTCCCTATCGCAACATCCTTGCGCCAAGTTCGGGCTCATTGATTGCCTGCCTGCAGAGCGGACGAAAAGCACGTTCACGTCAACAAGGCGTACGATTTGAAAGGAAGGGTGGTGATGGTCAGCGGCAACGGCAGATATGGAAATATCTTCCCTCGAAAAATCGTAGAACGATAGAAATACTACAATGCCGGTAGCAAAAACAGGCTTTTGGAGTGATGGTACCACAGCAGTTGAGGCAGCTTCACGCGCCACCTAAACGAACATCAACCGCCTACTACCGCCTGAACCGGGGTACACGCCATGCGCACGCCAAAAACCAAGGAGCGCCGTACTGGTGAGAGCACCAAACATCGGACGGAGGGAAGTCGGACTCCCGCAAAAAAATATGAAGTCAAGATGAAATGCGGACGTGAAACCTCTCCGGATGCCTTGTTTCAATCTTATTGTTACTGAGCCGACGAACCTTCGCTCCTGGCCTTTACGTTACTTGACACGAAACAACTGCTGTAAAGAAAAACAAGGAGGAGGAGGTTGACGGTCCGTTGCGCAAAGCCAAAATTGATTTACACTGTTAGCAGCAGCAGCAGCAGCAGCAGCAGCAGCTTTTTTTGCAGCGAGCGGCGGTTGTAGTCAGGCGGTTCCGGGTGCTGCTTGCTGTTCGGGAATGAGGCTCTGTACAATTTCCCACTGATGGTGTGCATATGCTGGGGACGTGCTACGAAGGTACTAGATGACACCTGAACATAGGCTCCCTTTCTGTGTAAGGTCGGCCTCTAGCGTGAATAGCCGCCCTACTCGTCCTCAAGACACACCCTCTTCGCAACTTGATTGAATATTCAGCATGCCATTTTGTCACGTCGGGGCTACCGCTGATTTACAGCCCTGCCTAGCATATCTAAGGGCAGACAACGCGGGCCAGCGCAGGGATTAGCCGACTGGTTGTTGCTCCAACTGCCGGGGCGGTGAGTAGTCAAGTGCTTACGAAGTCCTGACCGACACCAAGGAGCATCAAACAACGCATAGAAATTGATGGAAACTCATATGTATGTGATCTTCTCGGGACTCCGATGAACAGCAACTCAACGTCCCAACACCAGAAAAACGGTGGCCAAAGGCCAAGCACAACGGTTGTCAAACACACCTGCCATGCTGGTGGAATTCATGATGCTACAACCACCAGCTGACAACCACAGACATGCAGCGCTGTCTTTCCGGAGGCAGCGCCCTCCATAGCGCGCAGTCGGGTATGTTGCTGATGTCTCCCCTCATCCGTCCGCATTGAACGTTGGGCACCTTCCGTTGTCGAGCAGAAGGGGGTCGAACGAAAGGGGCCTACGCGGGGCAAATCAGGGATGGGCTGTGAGCGGAAAGGTGTCCCCGGCCATCACAGAGTGCCAAAGAGAGCGCGCGAGTCGACAGGGTATGCATGATGATACGGAAACGATACCTAGACGCAGTGGTATACGCAACGGAGCTATTCCTCGTACAGCAGCAGGAGACTAGTACAGAAGTAGTAGAAGAGGTTGAAGCGACTCCTACACTGACTGCTTGCTGTAATGAGCTCACAAGGACCGCCGTCATTCCACACCAACTGTCGTCCTACAGTAGAGCACTTTGAAGCAACGTGACATACATTCATACATCTCGACCTGCTGACATGCGTGAGGTAAATCAATCATCGGTGATGGAAGGGTGAAAAGCGCAGTAAGTGGATCATTCGTGACGGAGCAATGACACACCACGACTACTGCTGTTGTACGACTGACTGCTGCACATGGTACATGCATCTATCCTACAGGGTAAGTAGATGATACATCAGCAGCTGCCAAAGTCTCAGGGCGTTGTCACCTCTTCAACCCCTTACCTCTTGTTATAGCAGGTTACGGTTCTGTGATTGGCCAGTGCAGAACAAAAAAGTGTTCATAACCGTCGATGCCTTACGATGCAAAGCAAAATAAAGCTCCCTGATTGGTCAATGCAGAGCAATTCTGGCCCGCGGCAAAATCTCCTCGCCGTTCGAGCTTTGATCGAGAAATCTCAAAAGCGTTCAAGCGTGTGATGGGTAACCAGGCTAGCACGGGAGGCACTGGTCGCAGACTAGGCCTTCGCGCACAAAAGTGTAGAGAGGCGTACAGCAGTACATGTCGCACCAATGGCGTCTGTGTGTTCTTGGTGTCATGTGCCCCTCTCCGCGGAAAGTGAGCGAGAGAGGCCGCTGCTGCTGCTGCTGCTGCTGCTGCTGCTGCTGCAAATGTTGATCTCTCCTCTCGCTTCCTCCGCCGATAGCGAAAAGCAGCAGTGTATGGCACACCCTTCCTTGCTCCTCTCCTCCCAACAACAAGTACTACTTTGCTTCGCTCCATGAATGTGTCATTAATCACATGGTATCTGACGGAACCACGACAACAGCAGCACAGGCACAACACCCACATCAAGAACAAAGATTGACTACGTAAAACATTGTGTCGTTTGTTCCACCGCCAACCGCGATGTGTATGTACAACACGGGCACGACTAAACTGCTGCAGAGTACTGTAGTCATCATGCGAATTTACACGCACGCATAAGACTACCACTTCGTTCGGCGAAAATATTATGGGTGGCACATGATGGCAAAACAACGGCGTTACATGTACTTGTTTTTTGGCCCCGGGACACCGTCGGTTGTGGACAGGTTGGAAAAATGTAATTTATATTTTGTCGACTTTTTGGGAAATGAAACATCTCGCTTCAATGGAGCGCCCGTTCGTTCACCAACACGGAACAAGCCAGACTTACAGCCGTAGGAGGGGGCCGGTTCATAGCTTCGGGGGAGAACTTACTACACTGTACTGCACTGAGAGTGCTGGAGATAGATCTGGAGATGCTAGAGCACCACCAACCACCAACACCTAACCTTGCTGTCTTTCTGTTTGAGCGAGGTGCGCCAAGGTTAAGAGACACGGCGGAGCAACATTTCTCATTTGGGGATGTTGGCCGTTGGAAAATTCGCAGAGCTATATCCATCGAACGAATAGATATGCTGAAAATTGTTCCACTTTTGAAAATAAACACTCCGAATCTCACTGCTTGCTGAGATACGTAGGCAGATCCAACCTTCTTCCTTGAACCTTGACACACCCCATCACCGCACCGCAACGTTCACCTCCCTACTGCTGGCAGCATTTCCGCCCGACAAAGCTAGGATCTATAACCCAGTTTCCACAGGAGGGCCTGGTGACTTCGACGACCGGGCTGCGTCGGTCATCATGATTCAGCGCTCCTCTGCCTTTGCCGCGACTCTAGCCGCAGCAACTCTACTGGCAAATCATGCTCACGGTCACATTATGCAAATGTATCCCATCTCTCGCCAGTACAGCTATGGCCCCGTGTTCAAAGAATGGTAAGTGCGTGTGTTGAGCCATCTCGCCGTGGCTTGTGTGTGTCTTTCTGTCTGCACACAGCAGCGAGCGGCGTTGCTTCACTACTACTGTACCTCACCGCGGCCATTTTCCGTGGTGTTGTCTTCATGATATTCTTCGTTTTTTCTTTTTTTTTTTGTTTTTTTGGTTTGAAAGCTTCCGCTGTTCTGCCAGCTTTTCTCCGAAATGGAGGGGGCTGCTCTCGGAATCACTCCTCTTATGTGACGCTCTAACGGCGCAACCACCAGCAGTGCGAGCTGTGCACGCTTCGTCGCGATTTTTTATGCTCAGATGTGCATGAAACGACAACACCGAACGCCCCTCCCTGCCGACGTGTGTACTAAGTGCTTGTGGGAGGCAAGATCGTCAAGATCCAATCGGTTGCCAGCCTGTACCTCACGTGAAAAGCCTCACGCACCCGGCGCACTCCCTCTTGCTGTACGCACATAGGGACTTCCCGGGAATCGATTACTGCCCGCATTGTTACAATGCACGTGGGCCCGACTACGTCAAGGAGCGGGCCAAAGCCAAGACGGATCCTGCCGTCCTGAATGAGTACGGGGGAGGGGACGAGTACCCGCTATACTTCGGCGATTTCGCCGACAACGGTAACTACCTCGAGACGGACGAGATCGCGAAACGCCACGGCATCTGCGGCGACCCGGAGCAGGTGCCCGAAAGTGTCGTCCGTTCCTCGCAGCCCAAGAGGTGGTTGCTACGAGAGCTTTGATACTGTTGTGTGAACATATATGCGCATGGGCGCTGGATTTGTTTCACATCCCCAACCGAATGTCGTATGCGCAGAACGCGGATGAAGGAAGCAACGTCTACAGCACCGCCAACATCGGATGGGATGTCCTCGATTCGTTCAAGAGCGGAGAGGTCCTTGAGATAGACATCATCATGAACGCCTATCACTGGGTGAGCCCCTTGTCACACGCTGCATCTATGATCCTACATTTGCGTACGTTGTGAAAGGTTAAAATCGGCGCAACTACAGCTGCTCCACGCACACGTTCATTAGACAATAATTTGAAGTACTGCATCGTTGTTGTGAATACTCGAAAGATACACATGCAGACATGTAGCTAGACAGGGATTTCATTCCGTTGGATCGAGCGCGGAGATTTCGCAAGTGCTTGTCCACTGTCGTCATTGCCCAGGATTGGCATCCATCATTGCGGGGATGGATCCGACATGATATTTCCATCCTCGCCCCCCCACCAAGTCGTAGGTAGTTGAAGCAGCAGTAGTCTATGCAACAACGGTAAGCGTTTGGGCTAAGAGGACTTCAACGACCACAAGCGAGAGCCGTTGTTTTGAGGCGGAGTTATTTAGACGGTTGACACAACGTGCATGAATACGTTGGTTTGATACGCCGAAACTGAATTTTTAGTGTCATTTTTGGTATGGTCGGAGGCTTTCCGGGGCGCACTCACTCGTGGCCGGCGGCGGTCCGCCCTCCCCCCCCACCAACACCAACGTTACTTTTTCTCCCCACAAATCGTGGCGGGCTCCGCGATCTGTAGGGACACTGCGAGTTCTTCTTGTGCAACGCGGACGAGATGGACGACCCGGACGGCGTGCCCACCCAGGAATGCTTCAACCGGTACCCGCTAACCCGCGCCGCAGACGACGGCAACGCCAGCCCGATCGACCCCAACTACCCCGGCCGCTACTACGTAGACCCGGAGTGCCGCGCGGGGGAGACAGAACAGGGCTCGCCGGAGGGGGCACCAAAGGGCTACAACATCAAGATGCGCTACGTGCTCCCGGACATCGAGTGCGACCGCTGCGTCTTGCAGATGGTGTACTGTGAGTGTGCCACTACTCTCATTTCCACCGAGTTCCGTTGTGAATACTGCTGTTTTTTTCCTAAGGTTCAGTTGTTCAGTCGCGCTGACGAGTGACAGGATGCGCGCAACGCGCATGTCGCTGTCGTCGGTTTGGAATAAGTAGTGAAGTGAACTAGTGAGTTTGCCGATGGATGCGTGCGTAGTCTCTTTCCGGGATTCTAACCCATCCCTCTAGGGCGCAGAACATGGTTCTACCCAACGCGCTCCTCGCCGTTCGTTTAGGCTTTCCCACGTCATCGCTTCCCCGTGCGTACGAGCGTACGAAACCGAAAACTGGGAGAGTCGGTAGTCCGCTTCTGCCACAGGAATCTCGAAGGAACCCGAAGGAACCCAACCTTTTCCGTATCGTCTTTGGCCTTCTATTCCCCATGCTACGCAAAGCAACTCCTACTTCGGAAGACGCATGCATATGTTGTACTAGTCTACTCGGCGTTCACTCAATGCCCACGTCCACCGCGGCCCTTACTCTTGCTCGCCCCCCTTGAAACACCTTGTCCACAATGTGTTGTTTCAAGACACCGGAAACTCGTGCAAGCACATCGGGTACGAAGAGTTCAACCCTCCCTCGTGGCCTAGCACCTGCGCCCCCCACAAGTCGGACTGGATCGAGCTCAACCGCTACATCTGCGGCGAGGAAGGGACCTACCCGGAAGAGTTCTGGGCGTGCTCCGACATCTCCCTCACGTCCGGTGAGCTCTTACCGTTCTTCGCGTTTTTTTTTGCGAACGAAGGGGCGCGCTTGTGACGCGTCTTGTTCATCCCGCCGAGTTGCCGTCTTGCTGCCCGGGATAAGAACACCTACGAGGTGCATGATTATGCCGAACACCTCAAGCCTGATTTTGTGGGAAATTGACGAACCGTGGAGTGAACAATACAGAAGAGCGTTCTACTGTCGACAACCAATCGGTATCTCTGCCGTACTCTGCTTTTGGCCTATTCATTCTGGTCTTGTACCTTCGTCTCGTACCCCTTCCCCCGATATTGCCGTGCTACTACCCGCCCGCCTCCATAAGCGCACACCATCATGGCAGATGTGGACCATGTCATGGATGTGCTGCTGACCAAAGATGCTGCATCAACGATAAATACAATTCTTCCCACGGAAAATCTCACAATGTCGTTCATTTTCTAAGGCTCAAGCCTTCCCCAAACTTCACTCCAAAACATGTAGGGAACTGGGAGACACAATGGCGCCTTCTGCAGTACATTATGTTGTCGACGGTTGTCCAAAGGACGGGTGTTGTCTTACCTACCTCCGCCGCCCAACCCGCCTTTCGCTTGCCTCCGCCTTTTCCCAGACGGGTCAGCGACACCACCGACCCCGGACACGACGCCTACGACGCCCGTTCCGGTAGCCGCTCCCACGCCAACGCCGGTCGACCCTGCCACGCCAGCTCCGGTAGAGCCGCCGACGCCTGCCCCGGTAGACCCGCCGACGGCAGCGCCGGTAGACTCCCCCACGCCAGCTCCGGTCGACCCTCCCACGCCACCTCCGATAGCCGCTCCAACGCCAGCTCCGGTCGACCCTCTCACGTCAGCTCCGGTAGACCCGCCCACGCCAGCTCCGGTCAACTCGCCGGCGTCCTCGGAAATGCCGGTGATGGCCCCCACTGATGAGGGTGAGAAGCTCGTGGTTGTCGATATAGATGTCGCGTTTGTTCAGGCGAGCGATGTACGCGGAGTATATGATACGACGACCAGATAGAACGTACTTCCATGTGAAGCGATCTAATCTTTTGGGCTTTGTCGAATATTTGGTCGGCGGTTAGGAGATGCCCGGAATGCTACGCTTCCTTTGGTCACTTCTTGCTTCACAATCACTGCGTGCAAGTCTCCTGATTCAATGGCCAATGTCCGTTCACTTCATTTCCCTGTGTATACGCTGCTGCGCCTTCATTTTCTTCTCTCACCGCTCTCCTTTCGTATCCGAAGTGTTCGCTTTTTTTCCCATGGTGGTTTGGTCGTCCCTTTCCGGATGCCGCCATTCTCCACCACAACTGTCACACACGACATTCTCCTTGGCATCGAGCCCCCTAGTTAGTCCTCATGACACCCCTCACCCCTACCCATACCCCGACCCCACCCCACCCCACCCCACCCTACCCTACCCACGACCCCATCCAGTCATTGTGTGCAGCACCGGCATCCCCGGAATCGAGTCCTCCGACGGCGCCGTCTGTTGCCCAATCAACTGCACGCAGTGCGGTGGTGCGGGATGCGCCACCGTGGGTCTGCCCGAATACGGCGCCGAGTCCTGCTGCCAGTCGGACGTTCTTTCTGCCGGAGTCTCCTGCAGCGTGTCGGAAGAAGCCCCCTGTGTCCTCGACGGTGCGTCATGACAACGCAGCCCTCGTCATTCTCCACGTGTTCCTCTTGCTGTGATTATTTTTTGTTGTTTTGCATCAGCTTTTCCCGAAGGGTGTTGATTTGGGACTTGAAGCATAACATTTGACGAAGGAAGGAGCCCGTCCACTAGCGCAGCGCCAACGTGCGGTTCCATCGGCTTGAGTTGTCGAACTTTATGTCCTTCACCTCCAACCAATGGAAAGAAATCGTGCAATCCACCGTCGTCACACGAACAACGACTCGTCCAGCAATGCCCTCTATCACGAACGCCTTGTTTGCCTTATCTCGCCCATTTTGCCCCGTGTCCCTCGCCCTCCGCCTCTGCTCTGCCGCTGCTGATACTCATGCAACCTCTCCCCGCTGCCCCCTCTTGTTTCCGCCCAAACATTAAGACGTACTTCCACCCGCCGAGACCCCGTCGCCCTCAATGTCTTTCTCGTTCTCGTACGACGACGAGGACGGTGAGCCAATCGTGGTTACATGTTGCCCGAATGTTTGCTGACGTCTCCCAATTTTCTCGTTTCCAGGTTCTTTCATTTGGCCGTGTTGTGAGTTGCGGCGGGGGCTATGGCGTAGAGAGAAGAGAGCCAAAATCCGCGACTTGTTTGCCGGAGCACGAATATAAAATTCTTCAACGCTTCTCGAGTATCGCTTCCCCCCTTCGCTTTTGCGGCGATCAATATTTTGGTCCTCCCGACGAGGCAATGAAGATGAGGGCGCAAAAGGTTCTCGCATGATATCACCGTATTTGCATCTCGGGGTCACACGGATGGCTTTTTTTTCTGTCCCTGACATCATACTTACGCCACCTTCCTCCCTGTTTCCTCGTCATTGTGCATTTTAGAAACGCCCGAGCCGACCGCAGCACCCGCCACCGAAATGCCGGCGATGGCGCCGACTCCCGAGCCCGTCATGACCCCGACTGCTGAGCCCGTGAGGGCCCCCACTGCCAAGCCCGCCTTTGAGCCTACTGGTGACGGTGAGTGGTGTCGTCATAACACCTTTTTCGGTGGGGGTGCGGCACCCTAGCCTAGCCTTTTGGGAGGATACAATCAGCTTAACACACCCCGCAGTGAAATTCTCGTTGTTCGTGTCGACCGACGAAATAGTGACTGCATTGTCCAAACGCTTGTACCTGGTTGGTGCGCGCATATCACTATAATGTACCAAGATGCACTGAAACATTGGGCCACACACGCCCTTCTGCGCCCTGGCTTGTGGACAAATGCACCCAGGTCTTGACGAATGAATGTCTCCAACCACTGTCACGGGATATTTTGGCTCAGCCCCCAGCCTTGCCCCCCCCGTCGTTCGCACGCGTGTCTGTTCCTCTCCTAACGCGAAGTCTGCTCCAACGGCATCCCGGGCATCCAGTCCGGCGATTCGTGCTGTCTTGCGGAGTGCGGGGCGTGCGGCGGCTCCGGCTGCGCCGAGTTCGGCGGCGGCCTGGGCGAGGACAACTGCTGCGCGGTCCGAATCGAGGAGTACGGCGAGCTCTGCTCGGTGGCCCTCGCGGCTCCCTGCTATGTCGACGGTGAGGGAGCCTTTTCGTTTTTTGGGGCTTGCTTGTTGCTTTTCCGTCTAACTGGGCTTGATAGCCGAGTCACAAACATCCATCCGCACGTGGTTCTCAGTTATTTGGGCCCTCCCCCTTGTACAGAGCGATGTACCGGTGCCCCCTCCCTCGCGGGGCCGCTCCTCCAGGTTGGCGTTCGCATCGTTGCTGCTGTTGTTGCTCTAAAACTTTCATTCAGCACATGTGCCCATTCCGGGACGACGGACGCTTCCTGCCGTGACCCACTGCGCACGGCTGTGGGTCCATTCTGTACACACCACTCACTGCCTATTCCGAACTGAACAACCATCCGTTCTTGGCTCTGCCGGCACGTCCCTCACATCAGAAACAGGAACATGTCCTACTTTACCAACCCCGCTCGCCTGCCTCCCATTGTTCTATCCAGACGGCTCAGCGCCGCCACCGACCCCGGTCACGACGGAAATGCCCATTGCCATGCCAACGGAGAGACCCGCGACGCCTGCACCAGTCAACGCCCCCACGCCTGCACCGGTAGACCCACCCACGCCGGCTCCGGTAGACCCACCCACGCTGGCTCCGGTAGACCCTCCCACGCCAGCTCCGGTAGACCCGCCGACGCCTGCACCGGTCGACGCCCCCACGCCAGCTCCGGTAGACACTCCCACGCCTGCCCCGGTAGACGCACCACCAGCGCCCTCGGAAATGCCGGTGATGGCTCCCACTGACGAGGGTGAGAAACCGCGCTTGGTTGTCGATCATGATGTCGGTTTCGTTCAGGCGAGCAAACGCGCCGCGTTTAGCAGTGTATGATACGACGACGAGAGTAGAAGCGCTTCTTTGTGAAAGGTAGTCTCGTCGTCTCGGCTGTGTCGGGTGTTTTTTTGGTAGTCAGTCGGGTAGCAGAAGCGCTGCCGTCCATTTCTAGGGATATATATGCTGCCTTTCCCAACCACAACTGCCGCCCACGACTCCCCTCACCCCAACCTCTAACCGTACCCGCACCCTATACCCCACCATCGACCCCAACCAGTCGTTGTTTGCAGCACCGGCATCCGCGGAATCGAGTCATCCGACGGCGCCGTCTGTTGCCCGCTCGGCTGCACGCAGTGCGGCGGCGAGGGATGTTCAACCGTGGGCCTTCCCGAATACGGCGCTGAGTCCTGCTGCCAGTCGGACGTGCTTTCCGCCGGAGTCTCGTGCAGCGTGTCGGAAGAAGCCCCCTGTGTCCTCGACGGTGCGTCATGACAACGCCGCCTTCATTTTAGTTTTATGTCAATCAGTTGTTTGCCCAAGGGTGCTGTAGCCCTGCTGATTTCGGTGGTCACTGGGGGCGGGATCTCACAACTATTGATTATCAAGGAAGGCCGCGAGAAAACTAGTGTTGTGAGAATCCCGACTATTTATCTCGCAGGAACTGTTAAGGTTTTTCCCCTTACGCGGCGGGGGGTGATCGTCTTAATTGTCGTCCCGACATACATCTGGCAAGCTCGCGTCTCACGTCGCTGTGTGTTGGGGGTCGCACGGATAGCTTCTGCCCCTGACGTATGTGTGTACCGCACCACTCTACTCTTTATTGGTGCAGAAACGCCTACGCCGGAGCCGAACGCAGCACCCGCCACCGAAATGCCGGCGATGGCTCCGACTCCCGGGCCCGTCATGACCCCGACAGCTGAACCGGTGATGCCTCCGACTGCTGAGCCCGCCATGGCCCCCACTGCCGAGCCCGCCTCTGGTGGTGAGAGAGCTTTCATTCTGTTTCTGTGGGGAGGGGTACCCCAACCTTTCGGGCGATGAGAAACGTAACCTCTACTGTAGGTTATTGGATCTATGTGCGCCATGCTATGCGTCAGCAAATAGTCCAGCCAACCTTGTTCTTGGTCACCCTTGAGACGTCGTCGCTCTGTGACCTTCCTTCCCGCCCCGACAGACGTGTGCTCCAATGGAATCCCGGGCATCCAGTCCGGCATCACGTGCTGTCTCGCGGAGTGCGGCGAATGCGGCGGCCCCGGCTGTGCCGAGTTCGGTGGCGGCCTCGGCCAGGACAACTGCTGCCAAGGCCGAATCGAGGAGTACGGCGAGCTCTGCTCGGTGACCCTCGCGGCGCCGTGTATCGTCGACGGTGAGGGCTGTTTATATTTCGCGGGGCTGGCCTGCTTGCCGCATCTGGCCAAGCAGCCTTTACATCATGTGGTGCGTTTTGTTTCCCGCGGTTTCTTTCCTCCCATCGCAGTGGTGCCGACACGCTCTCGGGCCACCTCCGCTGGACTGATACACTCCCCCTCCATAACCGAAGTTCATCCTTGTCAACACAAGTATGTTGAGACAAGCGACAGGAGCCGTCCTCGTTTTGGATCAGAGCATGGTCATCTTCCCTTCCACCACCCCGACTCTTTTCTAACGTCACCGTCAGCTACATGCGACCCAAGATTGCGTTTACATACTACATTACCAAGAACTTCATCGATGGAAAAAAGCCACTGCAGTCGCGTTGGACTGCGCCAACGCACAAGAACGACATGTCTAGCCCTTGGCCTTCGAATCACAGTCGGGAACAGACAGACAGCCAAGTGCGTTGTCGCCGGCCACACTCGAAATAGCGGCTGAAGTATTCAACACCTTTACCAACAAATATATATTTTATGCGATCAAACATTGACGCTCATGTATCTCTCGACGCCCCTGTTTGGTGATGATGCAGACGTCGCCCCTGCCCCTTCGCCGGTCGCCGAGCCAACCGCACCGGTCGCTGAGACCACAGCACCCGCCGTCGCCGAGCCAACTGGTGAGCATGCGGGTCTTGTTGCTTTTGCCAGCTGGTGAGCATGCGGGTCTTGCTGCTTTTTCACGTGATGGGAGTCGATGCGCTGGCCGAAACTTGGCTGGATTTGTTTCTAGCGTTGCTCTAAGGTAGTAACCGTGGACTTCCGGTATTCGTTGCACGGTCATCATCATCCCGGCCCCCACATTTGACAGACTTTTGACATTTCCGTGGTAATCCCATGGTAGTGGTAGAGATCTACCTACCGTCGCCATCTCGTCCGGACCCAGAAACTATCCCATCACTAGAGTGCATTTTTTTTTTTCTTCTTTGCGGCTCGTATCTTCTTGTGATGGCTGTTGAGGCGCGTTCGCCGTTGGGCGGAAGGAGGAGAAACGGCCTGGTGAAGCACACGTTGCTTCTACCCGCACGGCGCAGATCAGTGTACTACTGCAGACGGGCACCGCCCTCGGGCATCTACCAGTTTTACTTGCCTCATCCCATCATATCGTTTTTTTTTCCCGTCGTTCGCTGGTTGTCGCACGTAAATATATAGGCAGGGCCTTCTGCTGTGCGCGAGTCAGCGCAAACACAGTGATGGCTCAACTAGTTGCTCCCACTCGTTTCCCCTCTGCTTCCCTCTCGCCCGATGCTTTTCTGCACGACCAATAACGACCAACTGGGTCCGTCCGACGATGGTGAACGGAAAGACTCTTCCTCCTCTGACGACTTGTCCGAAAGTGAGCCTGGAGGCAGACCCGGCGCTTACGAACACGTGGGGTGCTTCCAAGATAGCCAGTCGGACCGCGTCTTGCAGAGGAGCGGGCTTATTTCCAGCGACATGACCGCTGAGGTTAGTTTTTTTTTCGTCGTTCATGTCATCGAGAGGTGTATTCGGGGCGTGTGTGAACGTATCGATCGTATAGAGGAGGTGCTCGAACCTTACGCAAAAGCGGAACCGCGAAATCCATTTGTGACGGAGCCGGGAACGCTTGGGACGAACGCTTCAAGCGACATCGTCGTTGGGGAAACTTTGCCCTTACTGTACAACGTTGACGAGACTGGCTTGACCCCCCCCCCCCCTCGTTGGTGGCCCTCTGCCCCTCCTTGCCTTCCCTGATACCGCTCTTTCTCCTCTCCGCAACACAGTTGTGTTACGAGACCTGTTCAGCGAAGGGCGCCGCCTACATGGCGACCCAGTGGGGAGTGGAGTGCTGGTGCTCGAGGGACGGTAGCCTGGACTACGACCGCCACGGGGACACAGGCGTCTGCGACTACCCCTGCATCGGCGACGAGGTGGGTGACACAACATCGACGACACGACGCCACAACCCTTCCTTCTCTGCAGCACAAAATTTATGCTGTTGACTGATGAGGTCAAAGGCGTACCACCGACCGTGGGTGTATTACCCGTGCGGTGCCATGTAGTACTTCCTCAGTAGGTACTGTCAATGATGATGACCTGGAAAACGCTTGGCCAACAACCAGCCACAACGTACGTGACACCTCGCAACGGCTACGACATGTACTCGTTGGAGCAGGCGGTGCACCTCTCTTTTGGCTTCTGCCGCATTGGGCCAGGATGATCACTCCAGACCGCGGGCACGCAACCCCGTTCCCCGAGCCTCACAATATCCCCCCCCCCCCCCCCCNNNTACCTCCGTTTTTTTTTTTTTGGCGGGAACCATAATGGTGGTCGAGTAGATCGTGTTGTGCGGGGTGAACCCTCACGCCGCGCTATGGGGATGATCGCACCACGTTGTGTTCAAATGATCAAGCACCCTCGAGGCAGTTACACAGTGCTTACAACTGTCTCTGGAAGTGAAAGTACCAGAAAGTAAATTTAGTCATACGCAGCTGTCATCCGTACGCAAGGAAGTAAGCACAAGATGCCGAAAACCCTCAGCAGGATGCAGCGCACCCTTCATGCGACTCGCCGAACATCTCACGGCGTTTCGCGCTTGGTGATGTGAGAGCCTGGTCCGATGAGAACCGGCGTGCTCCGTCCCGCCTTTGTAGGGATGCGAGGTCAATGCTCTAACGACTATGAGCACACAGACACCCTCCCCCCTGCTCGTAGGCTAGCCCTGACCCCTCCCTCCGTCCTTCCTTCCCTCCCTCCCACGCCCGATCGAACATTCCCACCTCAATAAATATTTGCTCCTCACCAACAGAGTGAGACCTGCGGCGGTGTTCACAGCTTCAACCTCTATAGGCTCTCGTGGGCCCCCGCGCCGGAGGACGAGGAGTACGTGGGCTGCTACGCCGACAGCAAGGGCGACCGCGTGCTGTTCGACATGATCTCCAGCGACAACATGACCGCGGGGGTGTGCCGCGAGCACTGCGCGGACAAGGACGCTCCGTACTACGGCACCCAGGTGTGTGTGATTTTATTAATAGCATCGACGGCGCTAACGGGCTGACCATTGAAAAGACGTCAGTCTCAGTGCGGTTGAAAACAAAAAACGCTTTTATCTGCCATGAACTGGGACCCCGTGAGGGGGCAGCATGGGGGAGGCTAAACTATCCTTCGGATCAAAGACAACAAAGGTGTGTGTGTGTGTCTTTATTATTGGCATCGACCACGCCAATCGGCTGACCAATGAAAAGACGTCAGTCTTAGCGCGGTTGAAAACACAGAACACTTCTATTTGCCATTCACTGGGATCCAGTGAGGGGGCGGCATGGCGGAGATTGATCGATTCTCCGGATCAAAGACACCCGTGTGTGTGTGTGTGTCTGTGTGTTGCATGTTCTCACGTTTTGGATCCGGCTGCTGCGCCAGTCTTTTCTTGGTGGTACTTAGGCGCCAACAGATCTATCTGTAAGCTCGTCTGACATATACCAATCACTGCACAATATATGCTCCTCTCGCGGGCCGCGAGAGTCACCAAGCTACGTCGTTGGTGTATCGACGGTGTACGTGGTCAGTTACGAGTACACTTCCCCCACAAGCGCTTGGAGAATGGCTTGGTGGGAGAGCAAAGCTCACCTTAACCTTGTCGCTGCCATTTGCCGGCCCGTCCGCGTCCCTTCCCGCCCTCCCTCGCGCCCTTGTCGTGTGACCGAACCAATACAATACCGACATGACAGTTCTCGAGCGAGTGCTGGTGCGGCACGAGCGACGACGAGGCCGACTACGAGCGCCACGGCGAGGGAGTATGCCACATGGCCTGCTCGGGAGACGGCACGGTTGCCTGCGGTGAGTGCGTTGGCTCCAGTCGGGTGAAGGCGTCGTGTACACAGCAGTGCGCTTGGTTCCCTTGCTGCTGGCGATGGACGAGGGTCTGGTGTTCGTTGAAATTCGCTTCCGTTTTTCATTGGAGCCGATGCTCTTGCTGTTTATCATCCCGCCGTCGTTCTAAGGTTTTGTTTCCTGGAGCAAACCAGTCCGATCCGTCGCCTCACTCTCCCACGCCCCCACCCCGCGTTTTATCCCCTTTTCCCTGCTGTTTGAACCTTTTCGCCCCCCCAAAAGGTGGATACGATGCCTACAGCTTGTTCAAGCACGACAACGGGGGCAAAACCCCCACCATGGCTCCGGTGACCGACTCGCCGGACACCTCGACGATGGCCCCCGTCATCACGAGGGAAGCTCCGACCACACCAAGGGTGACCCGCTCGCCGGTGAGGTCCGAGGAGCCCACGGCCGCAGCCACGAGCGCGCCCAGGTCCCCGGGTGGGTCGATGCCGACAACGTCCACGTGCAGCAACGGCGTCCCCGGCATCGAGACCTCCAAGGGGGCATGCTGCGTCGCGGCCTGCGGCCAGTGCGGAGGAGCTGGGTGCTCGACGGTGGCCTTGGACCTGGGGCTCGGGTCTGACGAGTGCTGCGAGGGCGCTGTCCTCGACGCCAACAGGCCGTGCGGAGAGGCCCCGTGCGTCATCGGCGGTAAGTGTGGGGTGGCGAAAACGATGATTGTGCTTTTCTACATACATCTGTTGATGGTCTACGCCAAGAGACTGGCGGCTGGCTTGTCGTCGTGTAGGGTGGCGTACAACGGAGTCAGACGTGTGTCCCCCCGCGTTCGTGCAGCACCCTTTCGTTTCATTCCCAGCCCGGGACTCGCTACCACACTTCCTAGAACTCCGTTGCCAGATGATTGGGGGGGGGGTAGATACATGGAAACGACAGACTCATCGGTGATGTCAACCACCGGCTGTTGGCTCTCCCGCTCGATCTACCACTTACCTCCAGCTGCATGACTGCGGTCCCCTACGCCCATTCGCTGTTGATTCGTTGCCACGCCTCCTCCACTTCCGCTCCAACTACCCGCAGGCGACGTTCCCGCTCCTACCCCTTCGCCTGAAACTGCCGCACCTGTCGCCGGGGACACCCCCGCCCCTGTGCCGACCGCTCCGACCGGAGAATGCTCGGGCGACCCGGTGGAAGCGTGGGAGCAGTGCGGTGGTGACGGCTGGACCGGCTCCACCTGCTGCGAGGAGGGTCTTGAGTGCGTCGTCATGGGCAAGAGTACCTGCTACTCGCAGGTGAGAGGACGGGCGTCATTTCTTTGTCTGGCCTGGTTGTTTTTTGCTGCTTGGAAACCTCTCGGGTGTCCCACCAGTTATTATATGCTGGTGGCGTGCGTCACGAAAAGATGGGTCATTGGAACATCTGCAAGCACGAATGAGGGGTAGCAAGTCTGTTGATGTTGATGATGATGTTGTCGTTGTTGTTGTTGTTGTTGTTGTTGTTGTTGTTGTCTTCACATAATATACCTTGCCGATCTCCGCTAAGTACCTTCTAATATCCGTACTGCTCCAGCTGACGCGGCCGCTCTCCGTGGTCACAGGCCAACTATGTAGAGTGGATTTCGCCCCATTTTTTGCGAAGGCATTTGAATCACAATTTTGCAATCGAAAATGCGGTCTAATCGAGCCTCTCTCTGCCCCCTAACACTCGGCCATCTTCTCTCCCTCCCGCAATCACAGTGCCGCCCGATCATGGAGGGTGACTACCGCTAATCAAGAACGACCTACACACAACGACCCAGCCACGAGCAGAAAATCGCCACCGACCACGTCATCAACCCAGGCTTTCAGCAGGCCTGGCAGTTTTCTATAGCACGGAGGAATGATTGGTCTACGATCGTGTTCTAGTTTTCATTCATGGGATTCAAGCTCGAGACCCTGCTTCGTGCTTTTTTCCAGACTGTCGCTTCATTTGTCTCGGACATTCATTCTCTGGACCTTTCGGTCGAGAGAGAGGAACAAGGGAAGATTTGATTTGTGGCGATGTACTGCATGTACCATCATCAGGCCCGGTGCGTCGCTTGGGACATAGAGGAGGGGAGGGGGGGCGGATATATTTCACTCATGTAGCTGCGTACTCCATCCTGGCATTTCTGTGATTTTATAGGCACACGGCGCATCTCGTGTCTTGTGCTGTTGCCGCTCTATTGAACAGTGGACGCGTACAGCAGGTATGGCCCACACTGTGCAACTGTGCAAAGAGGACATAAATTGGCCAGCACCTTCGTGGTATAGCTTTTGGATGCTTCTATCCGAAGGTGGTGTGTGGCCCGTAGGCAACCCCGTACGGTAAGGCGTGGAAAGAAGAGTGAAAGTTTGATGTTTGATGATCTCAGCCACGAACATACACACCACCACCCCGATTCGTGTGCACTACATGTATCAGAGGGGGGGGGGGGTTGTGTCGTTTACTGGAAGTATTTAGCTCCGCATGGCTAGTGTATCTGTATCGCTTGTGGTTTCTACCATACACCTGGCGCACGCCGCCGTCACACATCCACTCCCCCCCTTGACCAACGCACGTACAAAGGAGGTAGTACCATTCAGCACATCATAAGTGAAAGGTGGTGTCGGATGCACTAGAGATCCACACATGCCATGCTGTCGTTGTCCTACTTGTTGTAGTTTACGCCTCGTCGTATCTGGAGCACCAGGGAGTGAGGACGGTGGTTGTTGTTGTTGTTGTTGTTGTTGTTGTTGTTGTTGTTGTTGCACGTAGGCTCGCCAAAATAGAGCGAGGTCAAGTTGTATTCTCAGTAAAAGAGCGCAACCTGCGTGTCCGTTTCGTCAAGGGACATACTGCCGAATGCTCGTTGATCACGTACACTTTGCTGAAACGGGGAGGGTGGGCGGTTGTTGGACTGGTGTGTGCATTGTATTCATGTACAAGGTTGGCAAAGTTCCGACAGCATTCTCGTTGGAGAGCGGGGTGGGTGTGTGGCTGTTGGACTGGTGTGTGCGTTGTATACATGCAAAAGGATAAAGGTTGGCGAAGTTCCAACAGTATTCTCGTTGGGGAGCGTTTGTCGTGGTAGAGAAAACGGCGATAGCGCTTGTACTCACTATGAACTGTTCCATTGACAATGGGTTGTTTGGAGTTTACCTCGACTGGACGGGAACGTTGATTATCTGGAAAGCGGACCTGTTGGCAGCTGTCGTGTACACTTGTAAATATAAATCCGTGTTTCTAGTGTTTCGTCACGAAATAGCCGTCGTTGTTTTCTTGTAAAGAGCATGTCGTGTGGGGAATGTAAGATCCCAATGACGATGTGTCCATTGTGCGATGTTGTTTTGGAGGAGTAAGGAAGATGTTTTCAGCGAGCTGTACTTTGTTCTGTGCGAAGCACAAACAATCGCATCTGTGAGAGACACCAACGTATGATACGTTCTCACACGATGCCCAGGCCCCGTGATCTCGGCTTCCGCCTTCCTTGCAGAGGTGACATCGCAACGGAGGATGAAAACTGCACTGAACCCCGGAGTGAAATGATGCTTGAAAACCTGAACGTGATGAGTATTGAATGGTAGTGTCCGATCGGTATGAAGAGAAACGCGAGAAGAAGCACTCCACGTGCTTCCAGGAGCGAGTCAGTTTGCACGGAGTGAAATTTCATGCACCGCCGGGCACGGAAATGATAGGACCGTAGATTGTGTCACATTGCACTCCACGCCAGCCATTCATTTTGAACCTACAAACACCAAACACATTCTCGTGGCCTCTGCTGACTGTGATTTGTTCCCTCAAACGCAAGGATCGCTTCCCCTTGAACAACACATATACCCGGGCGTCGCCGCCAATCAGTCAAGGCATGATTGCGTCTCCCTACTCTGACGAGAGTAGCAACCAATGTTAGAGTATGTGGGTTCCTGTTCCGGAACGACCTAACGCCTGCTTGTGGGTTCTTCGGGGTGGCGAAGAGAATGAACCGTTTACTGCATTACTTTTTATGTCGGAAATCAAGCGAAAATGAGCTTTCTTCGTTTTAAATGGTCCTTGGGCTGATTTTTATACATCTGGATTCCATATCCCAAAAATATCACCTTCCAGGATCGGCAACAATTCGGGCTTGAAAAAGTCCGGTCGTCGTAGCAGTGAACCGGATCCCGTAGGAGGATTCTTGGGGAGTGGGTGTAGGTCAGCCCAGACATAATCAAATAGTGCGACCTGAGTTCTTGACGTATCGCTCCCATCAAGGGCTCCCAGCAATCCTACGCGGAAAGGCATGCTATTCTGCACGCTGGCTGTTGTGGTCGCTCCGCACGCGTGCGTAAAAACACATATAATATATCGCATCACACCAAGCATGGAGACGCCGAAACAGGCCATACCACCATGAGACAGCGAAAAGAGCCGCTTTTTGTCAGAGGGAGGACACCGCAACGAACTGATTTCTCGGTCCCTAGGCCACCGATCGAAGCCATACCGGTCAGGGTGAGCCCTCTGTTCTTTGCTCTCTGCCGGAGTAGATTTGCTCAGCAACTCGTCGATCCAATCCTTCGAAATCGTCGTCGTCTGCGTGTGCACAAGCTGTCTGTTGAAAATTGTTTTTTAGGCCTTTAACACATTTAGCTAACATTTAGTCTATTGTCAAGTGAAGCAAAACCGATCGAAAAAACCACAGTTCGAAAAAGCAACGGACACCACGCGCATTTTCTCTCTATCGCTTGAGAGTACGCGCTGCTGAGCAAACATACTCCGGCAAAGAGCAAAGGACAGAGAGCACACCCTGACCGATCTGGCTTCGATCGGAGGCCTAGGGAGCGAGAAAATAGTTGCCGTGTTCTCCCCTCTCTGACAGAGAGCGGCTCTTTTTGCTATCTCGTAGCGGTTTGGCCTATTTCGGCGTCTCCATGCCTGGTGTGATGCGATATGTTATATTTTCGCACGCATGCCGAGCGACCATCAACAGTCAGCGTGCAGAATAGCAAGCCCTTCAGCATAGGGTTGCTGGGGGCCCTTGACGGGAGCGATTCGTCAAGAACTCAGGTCGCTCTCGCCGATAATGTCGTCTGGGTTCACCAGCGGTGAACGTTTTGGGTCAGAAAATCTGGCTGGGCACCATCCTGGATTATTCCAAACTTTCTGGGTGGAGGCAACCCAACAAGCTTAACCCAGATTTTGTCGACCCAGTCGTAGTCCCCCGGCTGTAGTATTTTGCGGGGAGAGAGACGGGTTTGTGAGAGAGATACACGCCGTTCCTCGCAGCCAACGTGGCTGGCGAGAGATGACGTACATTCTACACAACATTTGTCTATCGCCCCAGACGCGTGGCCTGAACGCCGAAAAATGACGACGCCAACTAATGAAAAAAATCAACGAGAGGTTCGATGGCTTGAGCGGCTTTGATGTACATGTCCGAAGGCACCGATGAGATCAAGCAGTGATTGATTCTGTCGTCGTTGCGCTCTATATGTATCACCAAAAATCGTGAGCTCACTGACGTCACCCCCTGTTCGTGTAACGTTCGTTTTATTGATTACGTTGTAGACTACTTGTACAATACCAGTCTGTTCGGCAATATAGTTCCGATTTGGAAATCCGGGAATATAGTTCCGGTTTCTAGTTATGCGTGTGGAATCAGTTTCAGCCCGCAAAACTTCACGGCAATACTCCTACATGCCACGTATGATTGATGAAAGTATCTGACACCACTGAAAATCGGGGATGGGTCGTTATCATCCCCCCCCCAGCCCTGGCGAGGTTTTTTCAGTAAGGAAAATTGCAGGAAGATTTACCTCTTTCGAGATGCTCATGCGAGGCGAGAAGTTTGTATTTTCTGGTTATGTTTTTTTTAAAATATATCTGTCAGCCCTCTGACTTTGTTTTCCGACCGCTTTTGGTCATGTTTACAATTTTAACCGTCTCAAACGGCGAAATGGGCTGATGTGAGAATATGGTGCTACTTTGGACCAGGAGACCAACTGGGGAAATGTAAGAAACATTTCTTCTTTAGTTGAACAGAAAAAAAAGATGTCGGTCCCGAGGTCTGAACCCCCCCCCTGGAAAAACTCAAAGGTTGAGTGTAGTTTTCAACATATATCCTAGGTCGGTACTATAATTCCCGAGCAGGGCAGTCCATTTTGCCTACAGATGGATGACGAGATACTGCTCAACGGATGGAGGCACCATACACCCGATCCACCTTTTCCAATAGAGACACGGCGTGAGGTCTCCACGGCATGTTCGACATTGAGCTCATGCCTCTACAACCCCGTTTCGCGGAATCCGTCCAGTTGTCCATGCTCGGACACAGCAGCAGTAAATGCAGTGGGCGATTGAATAGAGAACTGCTGTAGTACAAGTATCGATACTACAGTAGAGTTTGCCAATGACACCATCGTCATTAGGGCACCTCCTAAGTGTGCATCACGATAGCACTAAGGGTAGGTTTCTCGCCACGTTGCAGTTTTGAGAGCCCGAAGCATCAAGGAGGGCAGGGCATGCCGTCGCAGTGGAATTCTACGTATGTACATGCGCTGGTGCGTGATCGGACAAGAACGGCGTGAACTGCGGCCCATGGGCCTCTTCCTACATGTAGAGAACAGGAGATGCGGGTCTGGGCCAAACGACCACCGAACAACAGTAACTCTTCCCGTTGAAAGGGCGCTCTGTGAACGTGTCCCTAACCTACAATGGTTTGGTGAGGTAAAAACTTTGGTGGGCTTCTGCAGAAGCATACCTGGTACCCTGACGTTTCAGGAGAAGCATCCGGCCGAGAGAAGACGCGTGCAGCACCAGTTTCTTTGACGTGTGCACCGTGCTTCGGCACTCACGGCTTGGGGCGCTGGGCTGTCGATTCCTCGTGAAGGGACACATTTTTTACGACCAGGCATGAGCCTCAGGTTCGCGGCGAGCCATCTGTACTTGTGTGTGGGGCGGGCTGTGCTGCGAGGAGGAATTCCGCGGCCGTTGCACGTCTGACAGCGCCATGAAGTCGGACGGAAAAAAAGTTGAGCGGTTTCAGGTTCCCAGATCGAAACGCAACGGTTCCGCGAGTAATCGCAGGTTCCGGCAGACAGGTTATGCCGCATATGCACACTGCTTGCTGCTTGCCGCGTGCCGCTTACTGCTTGCGCCCATTGTGCACGCCTCTCGGTGGGAGCGGATAGCCGAGTATGTGGTGGGCAAAGGAAGTTTCCGTCAGGAGGCTTCGGAACATTCACATCGCTCAGGTATGTCATAATGTCATGTACTGCTGTGCCATCCACGATGCTGGATGGCCTGCGGAGGAGAGACACGCAGCAGATAGAGCGGGCTTCTGCTGCACTAGAGAGCTTGACACCAGGCTGTATCACGCCAGCAACCCCCCTGGCGACCCCATGTAGTGCGACGCCTTGCTTGATTCTTGATTCGAACTTGGCAGCGTGTGCGCAAAACACGAACACAAATCGATGTTTAGATGTTCTTCCGTCCTCACCCATTTTTATGGTTTCTCTCCATCTTCCTTTGTTGGACAAATGATGACTGTTTCGACCTTTTGGGCAGTCCTCCCGAAAGAATGCAAATCAGCTGTTCGACCTTTGAGAACAGTCACAGCTTTGGCTGGGATGTCTACAGATCCAGGGCCCACGTTTGATTTTTTCAAGATGCGCAAGTTTCATGCAAGATTTTTCCAACACCAGCTTTTATACGATTACGTGGACACTGGCGAAACAAGTAGGCGGTCAGTGTACATCTCAGCCAACGCTGGGACTCTTCTCGAAGGTCGAACAGCTGATTCGCACTCGTTCGGGAGGAAGACTGCTCAATAGGTCGAAAAAGTAAACATTTTTCCAAAGTAAGATAAAGATTTGGAAACCATAAACATGGGTCCCACCATCATCACACCGAGGCGTCTCGGCAGGAGCAGGCAGCGGCAGAACACCAGGAAGTTCGGTTCAGTACAGATACTAGCGTTAGGGCTGATTGATGAAGGTTTCTCTTCCTCTCTAGTTTTGACGGGTGTGCGTTTTGCTACACAAACAGCCGTGGGTAGATTACAGGGAGAGTTCTGCCTCCCGATGTTTTGCACGTGAGGCTTGAGAGTTCGCAACATCGAGTATCCAGCTTCTTGAGTAGTGCTCTTATGCTCCGTGTTGTTGTGGCTTTTGAACAGCAACCCAGCCACACATGACATCGATCCACGTATTGTCCACGTAGGAGTATCCAAGCTGCGCTGTTGCCAGGC